TTTTTAATGATAACAAAATGCGGATAAAAAAAATAAAACATTATTTGAAGTAGATTATTATCGAATAATCATAATCTTAGATTACATATTTTTAATAATGTTATTTAAGAAAAAAAAACATTGCTTAAGAAAAAGCTTCTTAGTTGTGCTTTTCAAAATAGTTTTCAATGTAAGTAAAATGATAGTATTGGCGTTTTTCTTGAAGGCCAAATTTCAAAGCAAAAAGCAACCCATTCAGAAGAAACTTAGGGGAAGGATAATAGTTTGAGTAATTGAGGTAAACTGCCAACCCTTCTCTTTGTTCGTCCTCCCCTTAACTGACCCCCATTTCTTTCCCCACCCAAGAATCTCTTTTTCTACTCTCCCTACCCCAAAAAAACAAGACCGTCACGAAACGACACTTGCCGTAGTTTGCTTGTAAATGTCTTTTCATGACGCTTCGGATGCAAAGGGTTAATTAGTATATTTGAGGTCGCCCCTTTGAAACATTAAGACTGAGTCCTAAAATGTGAAGATCCAATCATTATATTAAAAATTAATCAGGGTGGTCTGCTTATTTTTTTGCACACTGTAAGAGTATAAATATTCATTTTAATTTTTTGGGGGTATTTTTTAGCTAAAATGTTTGTTAAGTGCTGACATCTAGTTAAACTAAACTAATTATCTCTAAACACATTACAAATAGTCTGATATTACTATGACATGGTGTATAAATTGAGAAATAAACATGACTCTAGGCATAAGATAAAGATTGTTTTAATCTTTATGGCACTTTACTTTTCAAAAGAAATATTAGTTGAAGTTAGTTATAGCACAAGAAACAGAGGGCGAAACTTCCCCCTTTCATCTTGACAAGAGAGAAAAGAAAGGGGTTGGTTAATGTACAATTTTAGAATCTTTAAGAAAAATGAAAATAGAAATTTAAGCACACCAAACGTCACTAGTTAATATTTAAGTGGAGAAAAAAAATGAGAACACTAGTGATATTTAACAAGACAAGAATTTTATCAAAAAAATTTCTTAACTGAAAACGTGACTACTTTTATCGTGAACAAATATTTTGTCCACTTTCAAGTTGACATTAACAAGGTATGACTGTATAATATTTGAGATTGTATTATTACTAGTGCACAGACTTCTTAGAGTCCCTCCATATCTCTATCTATTGCAATATCATAACAGTACAAATATTTTTCAAAACGAAACTCATGCATTTGATTCGTGATTCTTAAGAATATTTGATAGAAAATTTTTCCCACAGTGTTTGGAAAAAAGTACAGATTCCACTTGTTTGATTTAAAAATGATTTAAGAAGAAAAGAAATTTTTTAAAAAAAGAGAGAGGGCTTACTAAAAAAATAACAAGGTAAATTGCTTTGGTTGCTTTACAATTTTAACAAAATATTTAACTTAGGTAACTAAGTAGAAAGAAAGCAAAAACAAAAGAATAATTTCATATTTAATAAACACAGCAGTTTAAATTGAACAGAATTTATTCTATTACTTACTTCACCACACACTTCCATGTGCCTTTTCATATCTTTATATGCAACAACATCATAGCAGTTTGGACATTTTGCAGAACGAAACCCACAACTTGTTTCATGATTCTCAAGAACATTTGATGGAAAACTTTTTTTACAGTGTTGGCATGAAGGTTCTGATTCTCTTTTTCCGATCTAAAAAAAAGGTTTAAGAAGTAAATAAATTACAGAGAGAACTTCTTCAGGAAAATCACAAGGCAGCCTGTCTTAATTACCTTCTAATTGTGACAATATTTTTATTTTTGGTAAATCAGCAGAAGAAACATAATGCAATAATAACAAGAACAGAAAAAACATATTTTCAGAATAACTAACAAGAGCATTTTAAATATAATACAATTTTATTACTTGTCCACAAATTTCCATGTGCTTCTTCCTATCTTTATATGCAACAACATCATAGCAGTTTGGACATTTTGCAGAACGAAACCCACAACTTGTTTCATGATTCTCAAGAACATTTGATGGAAAACTTTTTTTACAGTGTTGGCATGAAGGCTCTGATTCTCTTTTTCCGATCTAAAATGAATGGTTTAAGAAGTAAATAAATTAAAGAGAGAACTTCCTCAGGAAAATCACAAGGCTAATTACCTTAATTAGGCTAATGTCTTAATTACCTTCTAATTGTGACTATATTTTTATTTTTGGTAAATCAGCAGAAGAAACATAATGCAATAATAACAAGAACAGAAAAAACATATTTTCAGAATAACTAAAAAGAGCATTTTAAATATAATAATACAATTTTATTACTTGTCCACAAATTTCCATGTGCTTCCTCCTATCTTTATATGCAACAACATCATAGCAGTTTGGACATTTTGCAGAACGAAACCCACAACTTGTTTCATGATTCTCAAGAACATTTGATGGAAAACTTTTTTCACAGTGTTGGCATGAAGGTTCTGATTCTCTTTTTCCGATCTAAAATGAATGATTTAAGAAGTAAATAAATTAAAGAGAGAACTTCTTCAGGAAAATCACAAGGCAGTCTGCCTTAATCAAGGATAGTGCCAGACTTTGCCTGACAAGGGGTCAAGTCTCTCAACAAAACAATTTAAAATATTTAAATTAAAACGAATTTTATACTTTACATTTTTTTCTCACATCATTTTTTCAAGTGTGTTTCTAAGAATCTTAAATCACTAATATTGATACCATAATGTGCAGATACATTTCTATGTAAATTTAAATCACATTTTTTTTTCTGTTACCGATGTATTTTGTACTGTATGGTGCAATTTACCTCACATTGTAAGTTTAAAAATTACTTCCGTAATAAAGAAAAATAGTTGTAGCTGTCAAAAAAGTCTACGCTTCTTACTCTCATAACACAAAAATTATTCAATAATAAAAATTTGAAATTTCATGCACATTTAACATAACATGAAAATGTTATTTTTAAATGCATCAATTCGCTTTTGAATCATTTAAATGTTTTGCAAGTAAATTTATAAATACATTTTTTGCATCCATGTATTCTATCTAAAAATATCATGCCCCCTTTTGAATGAACTTCGAAATAGTTATGCCTTTTAAATTTTAATATTAAATTTTTTTATTGTTACACAGCATAATTTTACTGACAAAAAAAAGGTTATTTTAGTCATGGGACTTGATGATAATATGAATTGTAAATAAATGCAAAGAGATTTTTTAAATTTCATTTCGCTTCATGATTCCCTTTTCTTTTCAAAGATGCTTTTAAAATAAACATCTATGTTCGGCAAAATGCTAATTTCTCCATTTGAGAAAAAGAGTGAATCCATCGGTTTAAAATATAAAATTTAAACAATATAGCTCAAATTTGTAATGATTTTCCATTTTACAAATTTTAAACTTGCGTCTGAGAAACGAATATTTACTAACTTACATTATAGAAAAAAAATTGCCAAATATGGCTGCTGTTTGTCTGCCTATGTTTTCCTTTCTCTGCAGAGCAGCTGAAAGCAAACTTTCCACCAAGATTTCTAATTCGCCCTGCAAAAGCTTCTTACATATTGGCATACGCCTGCAACGAATAACCTTCACGCAGCTAATCACCATATATTAATGTGAACGTTCTTCCCTCTACGATTTAAATTTGCTCTTGCTTTTATAGTTACGAATTTTAAGTCACAAAAAATTAAAGGGTCAAAAGATCAAAATTCGAAAAATATGAGTTTTTTTTTTATTTCTCAAGATTTATTTGACCGATTTTGCTTAAATTTTGTATTTAAACATTTAAAATTGCATTCTTTCAAATGATGAAACATTTTTTATACCTAACATATCTATAGTTTTAGACTTTTATTAAGTAAAGTAATAATAAACGTTTACTAAAAGTTATATTATGCATGAAATTATCCTTAGAAAAACGAAAAAGGTTGGAATTGATTGATATGATTGGAATTGTTTGCAAAATTTTTTCAATTCACTTTAAAAAAAAATCGGGATATAGTGAAATACGCAAAAACTAAAGTTTTCATTAAAGGGTCCAAACTTTCAAACACGCTCCTGAAAAACTGCTAAAACAATATTTCTAGATTGAAGCTAATATATTTTGGGGGTCAGAAATCCGAATAAGTCGAAAAAAGGTATGTTTAATCAGAGAAAGTATTTTTTATGTCAAATTTCCCAACTTAAAATATCGCTTGCACAAATTAATTAGTTTATTTGACGTCACCCTCTCGAACCATTAGGCAAGAGTCCTAGAACAAGATCCGAACTTCAGGTGAAAAATTATTCCGGAGGGTCCATTTATTTTTTTTCAGCACTGTACATTCATATAACATGTCAATATTGCTAATAATAGCAAAATATTTTTTCAATTTTATATAGAAAGGTATTTTAACTGGTGGTTATCCACATACATATGCTTTGATAACTTTAAGGATCATGATTGAAAGAGAAAAATAAAGTCAAATGATGTTCACTTTCAATATTAATATCAGATATAAAAAAATAAAAATGTCTTCCATTTTGTCCTCTTTCATTTATTTTAATAATAGAAAAATGCATTTCCCTTTAACGAATTTTTGCTGCTATTGCGGAAAGCTAATATACATACATACATATATATTTAACTCATTATAAAAAAAGAATTTTTGCATCTTAAACATTAATGTTTTGAAGGCATTGTAATATCGGAGATCCCGCAATATCAGACATCTCGATATATCAAGCTTTCACTGCACTTTAGTCTGCAAAAATACGAAAGGAAATTTTGGTTTAAAGAACAAATATTTGCACCTATGAAAAGTGTATTAAAATTATACTAAATTAGTTTTGATATATATTGCAAAAAATTTCGAAGAAAAATTTTTTTTTTTTTTTTAATGGAAATTTTTTTAAAAGCATTTCTTTAAGTTTTAAAACATATTAAATTCAAACATATTAAGTTTTGCCATTCCTACATCTCACAATTTTGGAGAAAGCGGTGTCTATAATACAAATATCCAACAAATAAATAAATAAAATGGGGCGTAATAGAATAAAGTCTTATTTTTGCGGCGTAATAGAATAAATTCTTATTTTTGTCGTGTTTTTTTTTATTCAAAAAAAACTTTTCTCTACAGGAAAGAATAGCATGTGCATTTTAAGTACAAAATGATTCAGGTCTTCTTTATTGTAGTTCATAAGACAACTTGGTAGTCTATTTTAATATATTAACTCTTTTATGAGCAATTATAATTGAGTTTATTAACATATNGTTTAATAGCATATACTATAAATATTTACACTATTTAAGAGAAAATTATTAAAAAAAAAGTTTGACAGAACAAACTTAGTTTTTCCAAATAATTTAAAAATCGAATTCTTTACATTAAATGGTGAGACGTTTAACCAAATACTTTTCTTTATTGAATACGGAGAATGTGTACAGGCATTAGTCAGTCTAAAAAAGTGTGGTAACGTGAGTATGATGGGGTAGGAGCTAGGAATAACTTTCCATATGGGCACAAACAAAAGACTTGTCTTTCAGAGTTTTCTGAGGAAAAGTGAACAGGAAGTTGGCGGTAAAGTGCAAGTAAAAAAGACACATTTTCATCTTTAAGTTTTGAATTTATTCTCATTAACAAAAAATAAAATAAAATAAAAAATATAAAAAAGCTAGATTTTTTTAAGAATGTAATTATATTTCTTTTCAAGGCAGTAGTGTTTTCCTGGCGATATTTAAGTTCGTCTCGATAGAGGGGCAATCGCCCCCTCTGACAACGCCTTGGTCTTAATTACTTCTAATTGTGACAATATTTTTATTTTTTGGTAAATCAACAGAGGGAAAGCAAAAACAGACAAAATATATTTTTAGAATTAAAAAAAATAACATTTTAAATATAATAATATAATTTTATTACTTGTCCACAAACTTCCATGTGCTTCTTCATATCTTTATAACTAACAACTTCATAGCAGTTTGGACATTTTTCAGGACGAAACCCACAACTTGTTTCATGATTCTCAAGAATATTGGATGGGAAATGTTTTTCACAGTGTTGACATGAAGGTTCCGATTCCCTTTTTCTGACCTAAAATAAATGATTTAAGAAGTAAATAAATTAAAGAATGAACTTCTTCAGGAAAATTACAAGACAGCATGTCTTAATTATCTTCTGATTGCGACATTTTTGTTTTGTTTTTTTGGGTAAATCAACAGAGGGAAAGCTAAAACAGGCAAAATATATTTTTAGAATTAATAAAAAGAGCATTTTAAATATAATGATATAATTTTATTACTTGGCCACAAACTTCCATATGCATCTTCATATTTTTATATGTAACAAAATCATGGCAGTATGGACATTTTTCAGGACGAAGCTCACAACTTGTTTCATGTTTCTTAAGAATATTGAATGGGAAATTTCTCCCACAGTGCTGGCATGATGGTTCTGATTCTCTTCTTCTGACCTAAATCAAATGATTTAAGAAATAAATGAATTAAAAAAAAGACTTCTATATTAGAATTATGAGGTATTTGCTTTCATTTTCTTCCTATTTTAAGAAAAATTTTGCAACAGCAAGTTGACAGAGTGAAAGCAGGCATTTAACAAATAATATTTAAGATTTTAATTTTTTTAAAAAAACATCTAACTAGATGATAATAGAAATATTTAAATATTATATTGAAATTTCTACTTACTTAATAAAACAGTTTAAATTGGTAAATGTAAGAATTTTGCAAAAATAAATAAATAAATAAATAAAATTGGATTTTTATTAAAGGTAAAAGATATTTAACTCATTTGGTCAGTGTTATGCACACTAAATCTAATTTTTACACAATTTGAAATCTCTAAATGGATTGTGATCTTTTATCAAATATACAAATTCCTTTGAAAACAAGGACAAGATAAGAATAAAAGATGTATGCCAAGTTAATATTCTATCAAATCTACCAAGTTAATATTCCATCTTTGCATAAACTTTGCTTTGAAAGCGCAGTGTACGCTTATGTAACAAAAGAAAATGGGAACCTGCTAATTCTTAAAAAGTACTATTTATTCCTACATCTTGATTAATACAATTTATTTAAGACTCAATAAATGTTTTGATTTTATGCCCCTTAAGAATTTGACAGGTTTTAGCAATGATTAAGGAACTTTTCAATTGAGTTCAAATTCCCAGTCATAGGCAATAGATAAGTTTTCTGTTTAGTTCCTCAGACTTCTGAAGCATAAATTCTTATAAGGTGATACTGAGAAAGACAACTGAATTACCGTTTTACAAGACAAGGTATAGAATTATTGTAAAACCAATTTATTGGTCAGATTGATAATAAACTAACTTAGAAATTTGATTTAGTTTAAATAAATGCAAAATTTGATTTAGTTTAAATAAATGCAGTCATTTAAAATATTAAACAGGAATAAATACTTACTTTATAATCATCAATAATACTTTATAAACAAGCTGCGCAAACTATCAAAATAACTGTTATGATCATAGAAGTGTTTTTTGTATGTTCTTTTTTTTTTTTTAGAATACAAAAAGCTATTTTTATTCTAATTTTGATATTTATTGGCCTTTTCTTGTTTAATTTATGAATGACTTGAGTGCAAATGTGTGCTTACGTGATAAGTTTCAGAATAAGAGGAATTACCTTTAATTACTAATTAATCAAAAAGGATAAAGCACCACTGATATAAGGTTGACTTTAATCATTTCAAATATTTTTTGTTGTTTAAAATCAATAATTAGAACAAAAAAAATCAATAAATAAATAAAATTTTACATTAAAAAAAAAAAAAAAAAAAAGCANCGGGTGGGTGACCACTTGGATCAGTCTGCGTAGAGATCGAGGGTGTGCGGTATTGGTCCTCGTTAAAATGCGCTGCCGTAAAGTGCTCGACTTCGCGCGCAGGTCGTTGGGCTACCGAAGCGGGGGTGCCATCCCCTCTGCAGAGGATCAAAATTGTGATGGAATGTCTTCGGATCATCCTCAGGGGTGTTTCCCAGACCGTCGCCAATTGCCCATTGTGCAGCTCTAGTGCGACGTAAATGAACTACATCAAGAACTACAACTAAAAAAAATTGAATTTGGATATTAATTGGCTATCCTCATGGATAGACTTACAAAAGGCAAAATCTGAAATTGTTGAAGATAAAAATAACTCGTTCGTTCTTAATGCACAAAAATTTAATTTGAATAATCTAAGGAATAGACAACTTCAATTTATGTATGAAAATGTGATTCTTGGTTAAATATTAGAATAATATGTCATAAAATGCTACACTTCATATCACATAATGAGTGTTATTTATAAAAATATTGAAACAAAAAAATTTAACAAGCTATAATTACTTTTTGGCAAATTTCAAGGTGATGATCTAACTCTGACATTTGAACAGACTCGTGGCATTGGCGGCAGATTTTGAAACGAGCTCTACAATATAATTGATGACTTTGAAATTCCTTCCAGGAAAATTTTTGCTCACAATGTTCACAAAAATACGAAGACTGTCGATGATTTTCCTAAATTAAAATTTTAAAAATAAAATGTGTACTTTCCAACTTAAAAAAAGAGCTAACATTAAAAATTTACTGAATTTAAATTTCTATTCACCTGCATTGCATACAACTGATTTTTAAACTTAATAATAAGAGAGGATGAGGATACAAATAATAACAAACATAAATTTTCTGAGAAAATAAGATGTTTGGAAAAAACTAAGTAATGCTTGCTCATAAGGAAATTTTTTTAATAAAAACCTTTTCATTTATACTGAAAAAGTTATGTTAATTTGAAATAACCAAAGAATTTACTTCTAAAATATATTTGTACTACATTGAAACCTCACCTTACAGACTAAGACAAACACTGCAAAATGTGGATATTTTTTTTTTAAATTCCAGACTGTCTTTTGTGAATAAACTTTGTATATCCCTAATATAGGACAGACACTCTCTTAACCAGACATAAACAGTAACTTATAGATAAAAAAAAAACTTATTAAATCCCTAGGACACTATACCAAGGGACAAACATGGTAAAATTCTCTTTCACTCTCATAAGTAATTTAAAATTTTAGATATAGAAAAAATGAGTTCAGGTAAACCTAGAGTTTACTATGAACTTTTCAAATGCTGATTTTTTTTCTTTCAAAATATCAAAATGCAAACACATTATGGCAGGATAACTAAGGTTTATGCAGCGGGGAAGTAATCCTGCAATAATGTGCCTGCATTTTGCTATTTAGAAATAAAAAAATATCAGCATTTGAAACTTCAAAATTTACCTGAATCAACTTCTTGCTACACTTTAAAATAATAATAGAAATGGAACAAAATTTGCCATGAAAAGTTTATCCTGCAACATACCATCCTCTTAAAGCAAACTTGTAATAATTTGCAATAAAGTTTTTTTTTTTTTTTTTTTTTTAAAAAATTTAGATTTTACTTATGTGCAAGTGTTTTTTATGGACGAAATAGAGGTGTAAAAAGGACAAATATCCGAGAAAGAAATCTACAAAATAACATTTCTTAACAGCTTTCTAATGGTGATTGAGTGCATTAATGGGATTATTCCATTATTAGGGGGGGGATAGGGGCATTATAGGGATGATCTGTATTATAGGGAGGGTAAAGAGATATTTCATATTATGAATTGTATACTCACCACTTACCACACCATTTACTAATCATTAATACAATTTTCAACAAACTTTGAAATTGGTTGACAAAATGTCATTTGATATATTATGTTACCAACATTTAATTTTGATTGAATATGAAAAAGGATTTTACAATTTGCACTTCTGAATTATTATAGTCCAGAGAGAGTTCTTAACTTAACATTATAAACCAATAACTCTTTAAAAATATAAACTTTTATTTTTATAAGTATTCTTTTTATTGTAAAATCTCCTATCTTCCAAATCTGCATCAAAAATTTTTAACATTAAAAGAAAGTACAGAGGAATTTCGATTTTAGGTTTTCCATCGGACTAGTGTTAAAAGATGCGGAAAAGGGAGAAAGCATAAAATCTGGGTAAAAAAAATACAAGCAAATTTTTTAAAAACTGACAGTTAAGACTATTAGAAAAATGTGTATTACTTACTTGTTTTTATATATAATTTCAACAATATTCCCCACAATACTAATTAATGTTTGCAAATTTGCCTTTTGGGTATACACATGCAAATAATAAATATTGTTTCAGATTTTAAATTCTTAATCAGTTGTAGGTTTTCATCACTATCATCTTAAACAGACATTAAAGGAATTGAAAAGTAATAGGGTGCATGTTGCAGTCGATATATGCAGCATCTTAGGCCGCAAAATTTTATTCCGAAGGCTTAATGTTTCTGTTGGATACTGAGAAGCCAGCTTTATTGAAGTCATTTGTAATGCATTTTAGTAGACACTGTCCTATATTGTCCTATATACTCTGGTTTAAATAAATATGAATATAATTCATTATTAAATTAAATAATTAAAATTTACTACATTATATTTCTCAATTAGCATGTTCTTTTAAAAAGTAAAATGAACCTCCTGAGTGGATATTTTTTCTGTTCTAAATATGTTTGCATCACTGAGTTTTTACAGTACAAGAGAAATTTTTCAAATACTTAATATAGTTGAACTAAACATAATATGTTTGTACTTCAAGTAAATTCTAAAAACTAACCCTTTTTTTAAATGAAATTGTGGAAATTAAGTTCATTTTAAAAAAATTCGTTTATTTTAAATTAAAAAAAAAATTTTTTTTTCAATAAATGTTTTCAGATACGCATAAATATGAAGTATTCAATAAATATAGTAAGCAAGGGGTAGAATTTATTGTGACCATTTCATCCAAGGTTTCTTTAAAAGCAGTTAGAAATTTCAGGTTTCAGGCTTTTCACTTACAAAAACAAATGTGAAGAACTCATTAAGTCTTTCTTACAAAGTAATTTGAAATAGCTCGACAAGTTGTATCAATCTAAATGTCTTTATAAAAAGTACCACCTTTTTGGCCTAAAACAGCTAAGTTTAAAAAAGAAGAAGAAAAAAATACTTGATGTTCTTGTAGAACATAATAAAAAAGAGGTTAACTTTTGAAACTAAGAATCAAAACATTGTGGTAATGTAAAGTCAGTACTTGTTTACATTATTTCAAACAATTCATATAAATTAAAAAAAACATTTTAAAACCAAATGAGACAGATAATTCATCAGACATTATCATAATTCTAACCAGGGTTGGCAAGATTTTGCCGCAGGTGGAAAAAACCATGGTAATTACCAGTAAAAACCGTCCTCGCAAAAACAGGTTTTTGCCAAGCAAATTGGCAAAAACCTATATTTTCCAAGCTGAGAGGACAAAAACACATTTTTGATACAAAATTATTCCTAAAATTGAAATATATACTATAAATATAAATAATTACAAAAAAATTAACAAAATTATTATTCCATAATTAAATCATAATGTAATAATATATCATTTTAGTAGTTTAAAACATTATTGATTGGAAAATTTGTGATTATTCTTTTTTTCCAGTGAAATGAACTTATTTTAAATTAATATAACAATAATTTAAAGCATAAAATATCTATCAACATGTGTAGTTAATTATTGCACAAATAATAATTTTTTATAATAAATAATATTATACAAATAATATTTATTTGTAAATAAACATTTACTTAAGGATTCTAAAATGAAAACAGGTCAAAAACTTTCAATTTTTAAAATATTATTACCCTTATATTAATTATTATGCTAAAAATAATTTTTTCATGTAATGTATCAAAATTATTATTCCTTATAATTGATTTAAATTTGTTTCACGCATTTTGTAATAATATTTAATCAGTAATTTAGATAATTTGGTTTTTGCCAGTTTTTACCAGTTTTTGCCACTGTCCTGGCAAAAACCCCTTTTTGCCGGCAAAAACTACAACCTTGATTCTAACTATGCCTAAATTAAATAAAAGTGGTACATATTTACAATGAAAATATATGTACATATTATATACATGAATTGTGAAAAAATTATCAGTAAATTTATGATTGGTAAAACAAAGTATACACAGCCAAACCTTGTTAAGACGAAAATGCTTCATAAAAATTTTCCTTAAGATAAAGGTAAATAGTTTCCTAAATATGTTACCTAGTAAAATAATTACATAGTTGATTGCAAAAATAAAAATCAAACATTTCCCATTCAAGAAAAAGTAAATATTGCACCTAATGAAAATCAATTCCTCATTGACTTAAGTTTTGAATATAGTCTTTAAAGCAACAGCTGCTGTAAAAACTGATCAGTGTTTTTATTTCAGTAAAGAATTCCAGTTGTGCTTAAAACAATATGGAAAAGGTGGATTCTTAAAAAAATTTCCAATTTTGTATTAATGACGTTTGACTGCATTAAATTACTCAGTCGGTTTAAAAAGTTAAGCAAAATACAATACAAAAGGTGTGAAAAAATTATCAGTCAATTTATGCAAGGAAAAATGAACATGTATTACTTTGCCGCAAAAATCCCCATGCTCTTTTAGATCTTTAAGTTTAACACGATCTCTACACTTCAAACATTCTTCAGAGCGGAATACACAACTCCTCACATGATCACCATAATTTTCTACAGGAAATTTTGATTCACAATAACTGCAAAGCATCTGTGTCTTCAATACATTATTCTGTAATTGAAAGAAAAAAATAACATTTAACGAAAACAACGAATAGTTTTAAAACTACCAATTCATTTTGCCTATAGCTACAAGGTAATAAAAAATATTTAATTCCCACAGACATAATAATTTAAAAAAGAAAAATAATGCCATTGGAATTTCAAAAATAATTTTATATGATTTAAGAATTAGCTAATTAGGTCAAAAATGAATGAACAATAAACAAAGTACGTTTTTTCTTTACAGTAACTAAAATTAATTACCTTAGGACAAACTCCAAGGTGTGCTTCCATTTCTTTCAAAAGAAAACGAGCCTTACAAAATGAACATTCATCAGTTCGAGATCCACAACTCTCTTCATGCTCAGAAATAGTGTCAAATGTGCAACTTAAATCACAATATTTACAATTGACCAGTCTTTTGTAACATTTATCTGCCTACAAAAAAAAAAAGAGAGAGAGCTTCATTAAAATCTAAGATGAAATTTAAATTTAGTAATATCAAACTACGTAATGAAGAACAAATGAAAGAGCTGTCAAGAGTTTCCAAGGAAAAACTAAAAAAATGCGATAATTTTCATTTCTAAACCTATGACTGATGCTCAATTTCTTATGGTAGTTATAAATTAGATTCATTTAAACTTTTTTCACTAATTAAACATAATACAAATACATCTGACTTTAAATCAAGGTTTTGACTTACAGATTAGACAGCTCCAAAGGGCAGGGCACATCGACCAGAGATCTATTGTACCAAAACCCTAAATCATGATTTGCGAAAAAACTTCATAGCTGAAACAAAGTTCAGGAAACACCTGACAGGAAAATTTTGCAATTCCCAGGCCTTGCAATGTTGCCCTAAATACTCAAATTTTTTAGCTGAATAGACCTCACAATCAATCAAAGTATGTGCCATGAAGTCTCCTCCTCAAGATGACAACCTCGACAAAGAGAATCAGATTCAATACCCATAACGTATAGGTGTCTCCTAAGGCTGTAATGTCCAGTGAGAAGACCAATGGTCTTTCTCAAACTGTTCCTGTTTAGCTTAAGAAGCTCTTCTTGATGCACGATAGGGCAGTCATGATTTAGCTCTTGAGCCTGTCTCTGACCATCTGAGTCGCATCATTGTTCATGCGCAATTTTGCCATAGAGCTTGAATATAGATGCCCTGAAAGATGTGGGAGAAATTCCCAAAGCTGGTTCAGGGCCACAGAAAATCACACTGGAGCCAGCCTGTGCTGCTTCATCAGCCAGCTTATTACCAGGAATACCCATATGTCCAGGTATCCAATGAAGGTATATCTTGTTAGGAGTACACAGGTCACAGAGAAGTACTCCCACACCAGTGAAGAAGTGAATTTACACCTTAATAGTGATAGAAGAGCAGCCCAACTGTAAGAACAGTTGTGGATACGTTTATTTAGATAACACCTATCAAAGCATATGCTGCAGCACAAGATGATAGCATAGACCTGAGCCTGAAACACAGTGGCATAACTACCTACAGGAAAGAGGGGTTTGTTGCGATCATTGGAGCAGTAGATTTCTGCCCCTGATTAAAGACCAAGCCTTGATCCATCGGTATACCATACCAGACAATTGTCTTTAAGTCACAAAAGAGATTTGAGACATTCATCTCTAGTGGGAAAATGGATCTTGAAGAGCTTATGAAAAGCATATCTTAGTGACAAATAATCACTAGGCATAATAAAAGAAGGAATATCAGACACCTGCAACACGAGGTGACCTTATGACAAGTGTTTAAAATATTCCTTCCATAAGCTAAGGTACATAAGACATTTACTCTCAAAACGAAATTTACAAAAATGAGAAACTATTGGGAAAAATTAAATGCATTATTTTTAAAGACTTAATAAATCCTAAGACAAAAAGTGTAAAATAAATAATCATAAAGAAAAACGACTTTTCTAGGGTTTTGCATGAAAAGATATAAATACTGCATGTAACTTGCAAGAATTTTGTTGATATAGTCGTAGTTAAACTTAGTATAAAATGAATATAATACCTGTAAAATTATCTTAAAATGTGTTGCAAATCCCTCATAAAATCTTTAAAGAAAGCAGATGAAAAGTCAAGGGTTTTGTCTAACAATAATGACAAAGAATAAACCACAGAATTTTCATTTTTATCTAAAAATGTCATTAGAAAATCTTGAAACAAATTTTAAGATAGACTTTATGTTGTTGCTGTTATGGCTTATCCTCCAAATGTCTGACAAGGTCCTTCAGACCGTTGACTCTAAGAAAATCGAGGATCAAAAGGGGGGATGAGCATAAGACTTAATATTATGTTATATAATGACTTTATAAATTAAAGTATAACAATAAAGTAGAAAGAAATAATTCAATATGGTTCTTTTCTATAAATTGTACATGTACAAGTAAGAAACAAAACATTAGATAAAGTCTAATCTTTTATATGGAATTATTTCATTCCACTTTATTGTTGGTATACTTTAATCTATAACAACATCTGATTTTAATGAATTATGTATACATAATATGATACATCATAGTTACTAAAATTTATGGAACATGAAAGAAATCGTGCTTAAAAAAGTTTAACAACATTGAGCAAAAATTTATAGGTTCAATAAATATATAAAATCAGGATTTACAAATTAATTCAATTCCATAATCTTCTGGGTTTTAAAAATTGGTTAAAGCTCCAAGTAGCTTTGATAAGTCCAGGGTTGTAGTGTTTAAAATTTTTTTGAATTAATCCTAGTATACTATAATAGTTATTATATGGTGGTTTCAGCAACATTGGTAATATTTGGGAAATTGATAACATTTGCAATCTATAGTTGTAGATTTAGATAGACTTTTATTTTTGTTTAATGATTGTTTTGTAATTAAGCAAATCACAAAAATGTGGAGATTGTACTTAAGGTGGATGTTTGACATAATGATGACATATGCGACTGATTTCTGTTTGCGCATATTAAGTGCCACTTCCTGGTATACATTTACTCAGAATGTATTTGCCATTTTAAGGTTCAGATTTCCCATATTTTTACCTACATCAATTTTTAGCGACAATCATAATAACCTCATTTCAGGCGTAAAAAGTTTTATGTTGAGATCAGACAATTATTGATTGGTGAACACTTTAATTTTACTTAATCTAAAAAATCGACCTAAATTGTAACATAAAGGAATTAAATTCAATATTTAGATTGATAATAATAAACAACTCATAGTTACTTCCAGTAATATACACTGAATAGATATAATATGGCTTAAATTACCAATTACAAATGAACATTACTATTAAGAAAAACCAATTAATAGTTTCAATAATTTTGGCACCATTTTTTATATGTAAAATATAATAGAAATTAAAAACTATATAAATAGAAGTATATAATGCAAGTATCATACATGATTCAGTATCTAATAATATGTCACCAATGTAAAAAAAATTTTGTTCCAGGTTTTTGACAGACAGTTTGATTCTTTTGACAGGTTTTTGATTTGTCAAGTCAAAAACCAATTTTTGACATAAAAACCCAACCTTGAATAAGATAAACATAAAAAAAATTTGAAATGTTCCAGCATCTAAACTAACATTAAAAGAATTTTTTTAAAGTTATGTTTTGAGTCAGATTTCATCATTTAATTAGTTATCATTTAGCATATATTAGCCCCATAAGTTACTAAGATTACAAATTTTTACTTAAAAATTCCTTCATCATAGAATAAATAGTATATAGGTTGCTTCATGTTCTGTTGGGAAAAATTTATTTTGATTCAAAGTAGGGTTGACAATAAGAATTCCATCATAGACAATTGAAAACATCAGTTTTTAACTACAGTATTAGTAAAGAAGCTTATTACAAGTATTTATTTTAAGGTAATAGTAAAGAAAGTAAAACAATAAAATAAGACAAAATTTTCTAAAATTAAACAAAATTATTATCTCATATTCTTTATTTTTTATATGCACATTGTAATACAATAATTAAAACAAAGATTTATATCATCAACATTAAGATTTAATTCTCAACTCTTCTAATAGTTTTTTACTCTTTATTTCAGCAAATGAAAATATTTATACTTCAAAAAGGATTAATTATAATTATAAAGTTTTAAAAAAATTATACTGCAATTAGGAACTAAAATGTAAAATATTAACTCTTAAAGAGAAAAGCTTTATGAGTTAACTCTTAAAATTATTTTAAATAAAAAAACAAAACAATTTATTAAAATAAATTCTTGTACTGCAGATTTCTGACAATATTAACTCCAATAAATATGAATGAATCTCCTTTTCTTCAGATACATCAAAGCAATTATCTTTTTCTTTACTTTTTTTCAACAACTTTTTAACATGAGACTTATTAATTTTTGTAACTAAGGAAAATGTGAGTAAAACAGCAGTAATCCAAGCTTTAGGCAAAAAAGTTTTTAGTAGTTGACCCCTGCAACATAGACAGCATCAAATTTCGGCAAATACTTGGTTTCAGTGGTTTTTTCAAGATTTCCCAATTATAATCTTTTTCAAATTGAAGGGCATAGTTAGACATTTAAAATACTAAAGGAAAATCACAAATATTATTCAGCTTTATAGCCTTTTGGAAGACAATAAAGATTTATAAATATATGGGGGAAAAATCTGCAATTCTGCTCGAAATTTTGTTCTGGTTATTAAAAATATACCTGAATGCTGTTTTGGCAGCACTATAAGACTCCCTTTCTAGTCGTTAATGCTTTGTTTACTCAAGAAAAAGAATAATTGCAGTTGCATTAAGCAAGTGATAAGTTATTAAATGTTTAATCTCTAATTTAGATTATTTAAGCTTATTAACAAGTCAAATTACAGAATAGGGCGGCTATTTATAAATAGGGATATTCCCCAATCGGTAACAACACTACATACGAGTGTCAAATACTGCAACGCATATATAAACACAAAAAGCGAAGGAAAACATCCCAATTATGCATACGCAATAAATAAATGATGTACCTACAATGGCAACAACAAAAGAAATGATCATAAGGTGATATACGACAAAAAACGTAACAGAGAACTCATATCTTTTATATAAGTTTACAAAAAAAAAAAATTCAAATTTTACTTGATGAGAGTCAAGTTTCCACTTTTCAATGGGCAATTTACAAAAATTACATTCCTCAAGGATGTGGTATTCTTTTAAATGAGCATCGAATTCGGCTTCGGATCTGGGTACAGGTTCGCCACATAATTGACAAAGCTGGATTTTTCGTTCACAATAAGCTATGTGTAAGACGAAGTTTACTGCAGCAACATTCCTTTTGCTGTAAAAAAAAAAAAAGCAAATTACCAATTCAAATGTAATATAGAATAAGAACTATCCAGTATTAAAAGCAAATATTACCAGTTTTTGCAAAATTTCTGTTCTTCCTCCATTTTTCCTAAGTTTTTGCAATTCTGACCATATCACTTGTTTACCATTTTGTTGAACATTTATTCTCAACTCTTGAAAAGTTAACTGTAAAAAGTTAGTCAAGTTCTAGACAGCTTTTATAGCTTTTTAAATGGGAAAAGCAATACGTCTAAGTTTCACTATGCACCACAAGACGACTTGCACTTCGAATTTTGAAAAAATTTAGTAACAAATGAAACCGAAACTTATAAAATTAAAGATTATGGAATCTGATCACGTGATTATATTTTGGATTCTTCTTCTTCTTGCTCAAGAATTTTTTTTTCTTAATCAAAGAAGTGTTATCTCGTCAATGAATTCCTAGCTAGATTAATTATACTTTAAAGTTGGAAAGACGAATACAAGAAATAAACTGATTATCTCATGCTTAATGTAAAATGATAATAAAATAAGAACGACACTGTAACTTTCCTTCATGTTTCAATGGAGTTCGTAATATAGAAACCGAAAAGTTGTAATCAACTGGTAGCGTTGAAACAGTTGGACATTCAAATTGAGATTAAGTTCTGAATAAAAGTTTCAGAAAGTAGTAACGAACGAGACGGATTTCGTTGTAGAGTTATAAATGCAAACATCACATCACACGAAGCAGAATTTGGAGGCTTATCAAATCCATCATTTGATTTGAAGCAAACATTATCGGTTATTCGGTTAATAAATTGATAATTTATTTTCTGTTTTGCAAGTTTTCAAAATGCCTATTTTAACTATTCAAACTAACGTCCCAAAGTCTGAAATACCTGAAGATTTTTTGAAAGTTACTGCTTCCCTAGTTGCTGAAATTCTTAGGAAACCACTTTCGGTATTGTATAATTCTAATTAACATATAAACACTTAGCTGTCGAGACTGATTTATGCAACAACAAAAAATTGGTGCTTATATTAGAAATGATATGTTTCATTTATTGTTATGATGTAATTTTGTGAATTAGTAATTTAAATTAATAATTTAACGTATGTTAAACTGAAGCTTTTAACTATTTTTTTTCTTTGTTTAAATCTTTTAACCACAATGTGTTAAAAGAGTTTTGTAGAATCTTTTAAGTGATTTTATTGCATACAATCAGATCTGGATTTACTGTGACTTGAAATTCAAACATTTACTTGGCCGAAATAGTTCTGGATGCACTCTGCACCAAATAGGTTTTTAAAAAAGTGTGCAGAGTTTTGTTCTTGGGTGTCCTTAAGGTATATCCTTGGGAGATTTCCAGGGGATATTTCCATATCATGATCTGCGGCAGAATAATTGCCAAGTCATGGACACTTTTGGCAGCGGCTCATGCGAACCTAAAAAAAAAATCACACTAAGGGACTAACTCGAAAGGTATAACTTGTAGCCGACCACCAGCATACATCTACATGTTTTGTTTTTTTTAAAAACTTCTAAGTTTAAAATCTCTTAACACCCACCTGGCGAATGTAGTTGCCATAGCAAATTACGATATGGTAATATCCCAAAGATTTCTGTACCATGTCTTTGTTAGAGTAAACACCAAGTCTTGGCAGCTTCCGGGGTGCCAAGTCTTAAGTCTTTTTGCATCATATTAATGCCATTAGGAATATTTTTTATTATATCACTTCAAAGTTAGAGATGAGGTAGAATACTGTTTTCTTTCAGATGAGGGTTTTTCACCTGTCGCACTGACAGAAATCACTGACAAAACAAATGAAATTACCTGCTCGTTTAACTTAGAATAACCTCCGGACATTTTGGTGTCTGTTACTAATTTTTACCATCTTTAATTGCAAAGAAGGGTAAAAAAAAATTTTAACTTCAAAAAAAAATATTTTTTTTTATATGAGGTTTGTCAAAAGGCAGCTTTGAGCAAGTTTCACTGTAGTGGACTAAGCACGAAACCTCCACCTAGGTTTTTTTACTGTAGAACTGCTTGTAAAAAAATAAAAAATAAATTAAAAAAACTTTTTTCCAAGTGAGTTTTTTCAAAATTTACAGCATCAATCATTGTTATTTAAACAGAGACTTCCAAACAATTAAGATAAATAAATTTTATATATTAATTGAAATGCATTAAACTTGTTTTGAAAGCATACTAATGTGCCTTTATTTCAGATGAAAAAGGGAAATATTGAATATTTTTTAATTTACATGAAATTAATAAGTTTTATTATTCAAATGTTTTTACAAGTACTTAACTTTTGATATGATTCATAAATCTTAAATGTCTGGGCAGAATGCTGTAATTTAGATTAGGAGTGCACAACCTGCAACCCCCAAAGCAGCAACCTGAGTAAAATTAATAAAAATAAAATTCGGAAATTTAAATTTCACCTTTAAGTTTTTGATGTACCCAAACTCAATGTGGTTTTTCAAGCGTTTTTTTTTTTCTTCAATGATTCACGCTACGGATTTTAGCTTAGTTTTTAATATGACAGTAAATCATCCCAATATTTTTAATACAACAGTATTATGATACATGAATTTTAGTTATGAATTTTGACGTTATTCGTCTGTTCCGATTTTCTCTGAAATCCAAGGACTTTTCGGTAGTTATTGCTGCCCATTTTCATGTAGTTTCTAAAATTACGATTTTATAAACATGTTTAAAAGTCTTAAAAGTTATGAAACGCTTTATATGTGCTAACTTCAAATCTAAATTAGTTTAGATCCTTTTTTCCGCAGTTTTTGAAATTTCTTTATTTTTAGCATGATATTATTATGAATAACGAATCTCTCATTTAGGTAACAATTTTTTGACATAGTTTATTTATACCAATTTTATAGCAAATCTATTTATTTAACAATCATTATTTTGGCAATTATTTTTACACATATCTACGAGGTTTGGGAAGTCCTTTATTTATGCCAATTTCATCATAAATATAAAGGGATATTTATAGTTTTTTTTATGTAGTTATTATATATACTATGCTTTTCCATGTGATTTATAAAATCCTGATATTTTTAATACTTTCGTTCCACAGCAAAATCGTGTATTAACTATTTAGTTAAATCGCGTATTAAAATAATCACTCTTTACAAGCTCTATTTGTGCCGATTTTAACATAAATAGAGCAATTCAATATAAGAGCTTTTGCAAACTTTTTTTTTGTGTGACCGTTATTGCTGCATTTTTACTTGTGATTTCGAATATCCTGATATTTTAACACAATGTTACAACTCTTGAAATTCAATTCGTTTTAAATTTCATTATGTAACTTAAAGAGTAATAACTAAGCCCCGGATTTTGATGACATTTGCATTTTTGGACATTTTTTGTCCTTTAGAGCATTTTTTTAGATTTATAGGGCATTTTTCTTTAAATTTTGGGGCATATTTTGCATTTTACAACATTTTTTAAGTTTTTTGTAATTTTTTTTTCAATTTTTATTATCTTTTATCAATTTTTATTATTACACTGGTTTCCAAACAATGAAGAAAATCTCTAGGATATTAACAGGTGAAGCAACATCTTTTCAAATTGAAGAATAATTGTCAGTAAGTGAGACCGTCTTTTTCAAGTACGCACCAAAAACATCAGTAGGCGTTGAAAGAAGCTTCTCCAGGTATAAAAATTTAGTTTCTGACAAGAGACGCTTGTTTACATTTCAAAATATCAAAAAACATTTAATAATCCAATTTAATTCTGATATTTAGTAATATTATGAGATGGAAGTTGTTATATTCTTTAAAGTTTTTATACAAAATGAAAATGTTTTGGAGTCAATATATTTTCCTTTTTTTTGTTATTTTAGGATATAAAACATATATTTCAAACTTTAATGAATGTAGAACAAGTATCGCATTGCTTTATAATTTTTGAAATGACTCATAATAATTTTAAAGAGTAAAACATTGTTTTAGTTCAATATTTTTACTTTATTTAAGTATGTCATAAGGCATTTTTACCGCAATTTTCGCATTTTTAAGGGCATTTTTTGCACTTATTAAGGGCATTAATTGAGATTTTTTAGGTCATCAAAATCCGGGCTCTAGTAATAACATATCTTAGAAAAAACGACACCTTCCCATAGAAAATAAATAAGCAAGATGTGTAAGTTTATATTAAACGCGATCCCTTTTTGCAGAAAAATAATTCAATACACGTGCCTATTTCTTCAGTCCTATGAACATGTAAAAGTTTAACGCATACCCAACCTATTCTTTTTCGTTGTCACATGATTTAAAAATCACATTGCGATTCGTACTTTATGCATTTTAAAAATCATATGTTTTGAGTCTTCTCGCAATTTAAAACACACACATCATAATTCGTATTCACACAATCTAAAAATCACATTTTGTATTAACATTAACGATCAATGCTAATATGAAATAATTAAATGCCTAATTTTGTTCTCGTGGTACCAAATTTTTCTTTATATTGTTGCAGAAATTGGATTAAAATCAAACAAAAATCGGAAGTCTGCTAAAAGTTATGAAAGAGCGGAAAAGCAGAATTTGTTTTCTTTTACATTTGGTTGAAATAAAAATAATCAAACATTTTTAATATGTTACCAAATGAAAATTTAAAAACACGCATTTGAGTTTCCTTTAGGGATGTAAGGAATAGTGATTTAGACAAATACTGAATATTCAGTGCAAGAAAAGCAAAATCATCAATTAAATTTTAAAAGCATTAATAAATATTAATTTTTATAGAAATAAGTTTAGTCATCATTGAAAAATCATCAAAACTTAGCTGTTTTATTGGTAATTTTGTAAAGGGAAAAAGAAGATTAATAGAAATACATAAGACCTAATGAGTGATACCTTATTGACGAGTACCATTTGACGGATTTCGTCAATTATCTTTTTTTTTATTTGGTAGTGACTGCTACTGATTTCATTATTTTTATTTATTTTTTAACGTGATAATGATTTACGAAATGAGATAAGGAAATAATCGATGCGTTTTCTTTCCTATAAAATCCAGGAGTATCGTCCATAATATTAAAATAACAACAAAAAAATTACATTTTCAATTGTAAAAATTATGTACAATTTTATTTTGTCCAAATAGGGTTTTTTGTTAACAATACATTTTTGTTACTTTATCAATAGCATATATTTGTTATTAAACATGATAGAGAGATTTTTTGCAGAAAGCCAGAGGGCTTTCATGCAATACAAAAGAAATTATTAACTGCAAAAGAAAATCTTTTTATAAGTGATACAAAATTAATTTAATGAGTAATAGAAAAAAGTTGGCCTTGTAATGACAAATTTTCCACAGACTACTTCACTATAATTTATATAATGTATATTATATTTATTCGCAAAAAAAAAATTAAAAAAAATGCTTTTTTTTATCATTTAATAGTATCTTTGAAACTAAATAATAATTAAACAGGAATAATACTCTGTTTTGAGAATAGAATAATGTTTTTGTTATCTAAAAATTTTCGATTCTTCTATAGCTCCGGTTTTATTCTGGGCCTAAATTTTATTCATTTTCTGCTAATCTTTGTTCCTTTGAAGTTTTTTCATTTATTTTGCATGTTTATATAAATTTTTCTTGCTATCCTAATTATTAGTTTCCATTTCAGTATGTACTTGTTCAGATAAATCCAGATCAACTTTTGTCATGGGGTGGAGGAACTGGCCGTTGTGGCCATGCAGAACTTAACAGCATTGGTAATTTAGGAAAAGAGGAAAATATTGCTCTCTCCAAACAGCTCTTTAGCCATTTTGAAAAAACACTGAAAATACCTTCAGATAAGTATGTATACTTAATATTTTTAAAAAAATTTTAAAACTGTTTTTACTTGTTTACTATCTTTTTTTTTCTTTCTTTTTTTTACTGCCCTAAATAAGTTTGTGAAAAGGCAAATATTGATTTATTAATCATTATTATTATTATTTCAAATCATTGCTTCTATAGGCAAAGGAAAATGATATTCTGAGCTGTCCAAAATAAATTTTTGAAATAGACTAAACATGTATAAGAGTTGAAACAAAATGTAAATTATCACTTAAATTATCATTCTCAGTTTGACAGAAAACTACTGTGGATGTTTTTTATTTTATAACTGTCGTTGAACAGTCGACTCAATTTTGAATTTGTGGTTACCAAAGTTCAATGCTGTAGCCTTATAATTTTAAACCCAATCCAGAAGACAAGAGAACTCCTAGATCAAATATTGGGAGGAGTATGGCATGTTCAATATCCTCTGGTGAAATTTTTAGTTGATTAACGAATTCAGATTAAGAAAAATTATGTTTTTACAAAACATGGGAAGGAAGATAACTTAAGCAAAGATGCTACAATACATAAAAAAATCTGTCAGAAATGTAAAAGGAAAATTACATTCTTGTGCTAAAGTTTAGCTGTAAAGTATTTTTAGATCTTAGTTATACAAAATATTTATTTTTGCTATCTGATCATTGCAACTACATGTGTGCCTTTTACTAGAATTCTCTTTCATTATTTTAATTTTTTATTTTATTTTTAGGATGTACATTAAGTTTGAGGATCTGAAGAAAGAGAATGTTGGTTATGCTGGAACTACATTTGCTGGAATGTAAATTTGACGACTTATGACTTAGACTGGATCTTCATTTGTTGAAATATGAAATTGATGAATATTGTTTTGTTAATTAATTTTGCCATTTTCTTTTTTTATGTTAATTTTACCTTTTTCTTTGATACCAAATAAATTAATTTATTTTCTATCTGTTTAAGTTCTTTCTGGAAATGCCTTTCCTTGAAAGAAATCAGGGATGGCAAGATTCTTCCTTAGTAGGGGGGAAAAAATGCCAAATGAAATAGTTTTTTTTAAACTCAAATTCAAGAAACTCTTTTTAGAAAAGAAATTACAAATATTAGAACAATTTTCTAAATTAGTTATTAATTCAAATCTCATTTAATTAAGAGAATTGATTTCCAAGTTTTTTATTTTATCATGTTAAAACAAAATTAGCATCTTAAATCACTAACAAATACCTTGATTTTTTTAAAAAAATTCTAATAAAAATTTAACCAATTTAGAAAGAAATTTTATTAGTAATTTTTTTTATAAATAATTTGAATTGAATGCATAAAGACAAACAATTCTGTATTCAGTTAATAAATAAGTACACATAATTTACTTAGATATAAGTGTGCTTACTTATTGTGGAAAATAAGAGCATCATGAACTCCAGTTAAAATAATATGGATGTTATATAGACAGTAATTCTATACAAACCTAAAATAAATATTTTTTTAAAAAAGTTAATGGGAAAAACTAATTACAAGTGTTTATTAAATGTTATGTATTTAGACAGTTTTTGTTATTGCTAAACAATTGGTCAATTTTAGTTTTCACGTTTTTTCCAGTGCCCTTAGCAACAATTTTTCTTTGGCCCCAGTTGGACTCAAAATTAGCACAATATGGGTTCTATGTGAATATGCACCGAGGAACTAATATTGGGATGTCAATATTTTTTAATATTGGTCCTATGTAGGAGTCTTTATGGGGCCTATATTGGCTGATTAATGAATATAAAATATCTAGTGAATCATATAATGCTATATTGATCCCATATTGGCTGTAAAGTGGCAATTCTATCTAGGGCTGATACCGGGAAAATAACGACTCTTTGAACCGTTATTGAGCCAAGATTCGTGAGTATTGATCCTGTGAGGGCCCAAGTTATTTTGCTGCTTGGAGAAATCCGAACCCTGAAAATAACATATTGCACTAGTTGTTAGAGACCTTTTCCCCTGATGATGACCATTCAGTTTTTTAAATTTATATTTTATGAACTAATATAAGTTTATGTTGAAAATACATTTCCTGGAAATAGTTACATAACAGATTCAACTTTTATTTGTTTAAATTACATCAGGAGTTACAAATTAGGTAGTATTTGACTAGGGCAGAAAATACCAATTTCTGGACCGATCAGTGAGAACTAGGGAGGGATTAAAATATTTTAAAACTAATTAATTTGTTGATAAAGCTTAAAAGTGATTCCTAATAAAAAGCAAAATGCATTCCAATTACATTAGACATAACTTGTTTAGATGTTTTTAATCCATTCTTTGCTTTTCTTGACTAATAAAGATTGTTCAGCAGAGTTAAGAAATGCTTTTAATCTACCTTACTTCTATTTTTTCAGGAATATTATTTTAAAAAAATAGTTATAATAGAACTCTTTGTAGACTAACATGATTTATAACCCATCACAATACCCATAAATTGAAATGATTGCAATAAAAATAATGTTATTTAGTGCAGAGAAAAAATAAGTTGATGAACAAAATCGATATTTTACATTTTATTGTCTGTCGTTAGAATAAAAATGTGACAGATATTTTAGTACAAAATTTAGGTGCCAGTTTTAATATTCAATTTGGAGATTTTGTCTTAATAAAATTTTTCTCTTGTGTATTTCATTGAGTGGGTGACAAAAATAAAGTTTTTATTTTTCAATAGATGTATTCAAGAAATAAACTTAACAAGCTTGAATTTCTTTATCCAAACGCAGAAGTAATTTACAGAGTATTCTATAATCACCACCCATAATATGTGTCTATAGAATCTTTGTCAACAAAAAGTATGCTCATTAGGCATCCTGAATCAATATTTAAGCTTGGGAAAAACAAAATAGCTTTTAAAGTTAAACGAATCACTGGGAAAGGAGGGGAGGAAACCATGAAAATCTGTTTGGTTGCTAAAGATAAGTTAACAGGCGATTATTGCAAACACTTCCAAGTTTAGTCGGGCAATGAAACTATTTTTATTGTTTTTTCCTCTCGTCTTCATTATTTTCATAACCTTCGAAAGAGTAAGGATTTGGGGTATCTTTTCCACTAATATACAGAGTATTCGTAAATGACCAGACTTTACTCCAGACATACCAGACAAATGACCAGACATACTTTTCAATGAAGTATTAGGGATCACAAATAATTGTTTAAGCAAGGGGGAAAACAAAAACGCGTTTGAAATCTAACAAATTACTACTGAGGAAGGCAGAAATAAAAATCTGATGGTGTGAGAAAATTGTAAAGTGAAAGTTGCTAACACCTCTAAGTTAAAATCAGGCAACCAAACTGCTTTTGTTTTTCATTCCACCTTCGCTAATTATTCGACATATTTAGATAACATTTGTATTTTCTACGTTTAAGTATTGATTTGTGACCTCGCATGCATATACCATCACAGTAGTTTACGATTATGAGAACATGAAGTGTAACAAATAAAGTAGGGTTAATTGAACTCCGAAACCACTATTAAAGAAATAAACTTTAACTGAGATCAATAATATAAACTTTATTCAAATAACATACAATAAAGAAAGCATACTGTACAAAACTGTTCATGAGCAGATATGTTTTTCAAATATTCGCTTAGCTGAACATTTACAAATATTTTATATTGCACATAGCAGTGTTCTCTTATATAATAGTTTGTGAGCAATACCGGAATTCATCAAATGACTGCATCAAAGTGAATATAATTTTTCATCTGGATGCATACTCATTTTGTTTTGGGCGTGAGCTAGAATAAAGACTATAGCTTTGGCTTGCGTTATAGCCCGTATAAGGGATTGTAGGTCTCGAGTAAGGAGTTGTACGAGATTTCATTTGATATAAGTAGTTGTCATATGTCGGTGTATATGAGCACACATCACTATGGTAAGGCTGAGAAATGGGACAAGTTTGTTGATTAGGAACATGGATATTGCTGCTGAGTGCTCGGTTGAAAATAGATCCAGAAAGCTGATCAACTTCTTCATCTGGAAATAAATAACACAAATGTTAACTATTTAATATCTTTACAGCAAACACATAATCAATTTCCTAACTACTTGATCAAAAAACAAATTATTTGCCTCCAGAGAAACCATGAAAAATTGGAGATAGGTCTGTGATGTTTTGGGCGTGTTTATTATTATTATGATAGAGTAGTGATCTCTCCCTTAGGTGACCATAAACCATTATGTGAATTTAAATATTCTGGATTTTAAGATGCTGCCTTTCTGTCAATATTCATGATGATTAGTGAATATTTTTAAAAAAATTTCTGTCGATACCTTTATTTTTCAAGACGATAACAGCTAAGTTCATCGAGCAGAAAGAATGTGTGACTGGTTTTTATAAACACTCCCACACTCAATTACGTCTCGATTAGTCGACAGAATAACTTGAAAAAATCTGCTTCATTCTATGAAAAAGCGGGGAAAATGTCGAAATTAGTATTCTTTCAATTTGGAGATTTGCCGGAAGAAATCCTCAGGGAGAGGCTTAAATCGAATGTAATGTACCGGCAAAATCTTGGGACTCATTCACTTTCTTTGTTTAAGCTTAAGTTGCGTTTGAATGATAATTATGCGGATGTTCTTTGCTGACTGAACTTTGACTACAAGAATGTTTGATAACAGATCCTCATAGTTTGATACTATTATAAATTTGTTGAATGAAAAGGAAAGAAAAAAAAGCTTTTCTATATTTTTATTTGAAATATAGAACAAGGTCCTTTTCATCTGTCTTTGATATCATCTCTGCGAATGGATTCAGTGGATGTAGAGTTAAATAGATCAGGACAAATTTTAAAATGTGACACGTTGTCTTTGTTTTTCAACTAATAAAGGCCTAAAATGTGGTCATTGTGATGAGACCGTACGAAAAAATGCTGGTTCGTTCCACCGAAAAACCCTCTATGAAGGCTAGTTTTCTTTTTTTTTTTTTATAACTGTCGTTGAACAGCCGACCCAATTTTATGGGTTTACACATACTAATGTTCAACTCTGTAGCCTTGTAATTTTGAACCCAATCCAGAAGACAAGGGAACTCCTGGACCGAGTATTGGGAGAAATTTGCCATCGTGGAGGACTTTTTGATGGAGTTAACCTGCATTTGCGTTACATGGAGAGGAAGACCACGGTTAGCCTGGCGGTAAGGGGATTCTAACCCATGATCCGCCTACCACTGAGGATATTTCACGTCAGCACTGTGGTCGGTGTAAGCCGGATCCGGAATTCGTATCGACTGGGATTCGAAGGCGAACGCTCTATCCCCTGAGCCATCGCGGCTCATGAAGACTAGTTTGTCCCAATTTTTTGATTTGAGTTCAAAATTACAAGGAGTTGATCATTGATAGTCGTAAATTCAGAATTGAGTCGGCTGCTTAGTGCCGGTTATATTATTTATGAAATATACAGTACGCACAAATGAGCAAAATATTAGGAGGGACTCCATTTTTAAACTAGATTCTTTTCCCAAAATTAAAAAATAATTTTCTTATTCTAATTTTCTAGTTTGTAAACTAAGTTCATTGCACTGTTTACACATTAAATTTTTGCTTAAACAATGAAATCTAATATATACAGTGAGTTTCTTGCACATTTTTTATCGCTACAATTGGTTCTTAAATAGACTTCATTTCATACATAATTGAAATTATGACTTTAACCTATTACATGTACAAAAAGTGCGTATCTGAAAAGATAGATAATATTTTTTAGCCTAAGAAACGGGCGAGGTTTCATAGAACGATTGAGACAAAAGTAAACTTTTTTTTTTCTTTAATAATTTGCCGCATCCTACGCTAACATCTGTCGCACAGTTCCGTCTTTTTCTTATATTCTTCACAAAAAATGATAAATATGGGATGGGAATTTCCAAAGGCATTTTTCTTCTTAATGAATTTATTTATCAAAAAATAAAAAGTATTATTGCAGGATTTTTATATTGAAATGCAAAATGTGCCTATTTTGCATTCCCTGGCCTTATTATTAGACGCACTATAAGATTCTATGTAAAATTATAATTACTAGTTGATACTATACTCGGGTACTGTTTTTACTCGGATGAAACCGGTTTGCATTTGTTTGCGCTCCGGTATCAATTGATTAACATTGTAATGCAATAATTTAAAATTAAATACAAATAGGAAGTATATAAAAAAAATCTAGATAAAAACCAATTACATGTTTGTTTAATTGTAAAAGTATTGCATATAAACTCGCGCAAATCGTATAATTATTAAATAAAACTACAGCACGTCTAATAATTTGATCTAATTATTATAATATACTATTATAATGCTTGATATAATAAATATTCTATATTTATATAATATATCGTTAAGTTCATATTATATATTGTCTAATTTAACCGATTGATACACCAAGGGCGGCGCCAGCAGGGGAGGGGCAATTGCACCCCTGTCGGGCATGGCCAGCCCCCCCCCCCTCATCATGAAAATTTTAATGTCTCATCAGGAAAACAGTCTGGTCACATTTTTTTCTAAATTATGTCAAAAATTCAATTACAAATGCCTAATAAAAAATTTTGTAGTTGACTTTTTAGTTTTTATTTATTTATTTTTAAGAATTCGAAACAAAAATTAGTAACATATATTGGATACACTAACGTAAACAAGTGCAAACCGGTTTCAGTCACATGACAACAATAAAGCTGTGAAGTATCACCTGATAATTAAGATTTTACATAGAATCTTATAGTGAGTCGAATAAATTGGCCAGGGACTGTATATTCTATTAATATTAAAATATCAGCACGGGGTTTTATGACGCAATAATCTTTCATGCTTCCCATTTGTTATTTTTATTGTTTTTTTTTAAAAATGTATTGTTTTAAAAAATATATTGTATTTTTAATAAAACTAGAATTATATATTAAATAATATTCTGAAAGCTTCTTTATTTCACGCTTGTTTCTTAACTTTTTTCTTAATTTCAGAAATGAATCTTTGTAATGTTTAACAATATTTAAGAATTACCTGAAAAGAAATGTCTTACATTATTAATATCTCAATAGGTTTTTTAATTGTTTAAGTTTTTAATTTTTGAAAAAGAGGCCACATATCTTAAAAAAATAGCCTTTAATAAAAATGCCCCAACTGGCCACTGACGAGGAACAAAATTTTCTAATTTTGCGTTGAATATAGCCATTGATATTGTGATAAATTATTTTGCGAAAGTTTTCATTTTTAAAATCCTTTTCCTTTTCAGCAAGTTAACAAAGTGTTCATTTTTTTTTTTAATAACTATGTGATAAATAAATTTTACTATTGCAATTCAAAATAGCTCTTTTTATTATTTTTTATTTACTAGAATTAACTAAAATGGAGCTTCACATTCAATTTATGTAAAATTTATTGAATAAATTTTTGGTTTTTATTTTGATTCAATTTTCTTACTTTATAAATAAATACACACTCTGTTTCAAGTAAATATTGAGATTCATGAATAATAACTAATATTGGATTTTACTTCACCAGTGATGCTCATTCATTCTTCACATGATTTTATTTGTTATTCAATAGTTTAAAAAGAAAATATTATTACTGTTTCTCAAAAAAAGAAAAGTAAGAAAATTCTCTACTTTATTTTTGCAGATTATCCTTAACTAAACTCATTATTGTTTTTTAATTCAAGCTGTTTAGTTTTTAGAAATGCTTCGTTATCAAATGGAAACTAAAGTTTATTTCCTCTCATTTTTCGAACAATTATTTGTTTATCAGAACGATTTTTGAATCCTTTGTAAGCATAGTTCAAATTTAAACTCCTCTTATAAGCATCCTTCCTCACCCTTGGTGGCTACTTAACATTTAAATAACAATAAAAGCGAAAGTTAACGAGACAAAAGGTTAAAATGATTAACAACAAAGAAAGGTATAAAGACGTAAAGGGGAAGTGAGGAAAATGAGGTTATTTAATAGAATAAAAAAATTACTAACTATTAAAAAAAAATTACTGTTGGCAATTAGCAAAATTTACACAAACTTTGTTTATAATCCCTGGATAAAAGCGTGTTTTCCGATGATGACGAATTAAGCAACGGTAACCTGTTTCCCAAAAAGAGAATTTTGAGTAAGTCTAAAACGGCAGAGCAATAAAGAAAATCTCAATCAAAATTTCAAAGCAAATTTTGACCAGTGTCAATAGTATCTTCATCGTAAAACTAGTCCCTCCCTTCTCAAACAGTGGTATAAAATAGTGATTTCTTTATTGTTATTATTACTATTATCATTTAGAGTAATGGAATCGAATTGAAAAAATAACAAGTAAATGAAGCAGTGTATGCAGCTTTATATTGCGAAAAAAAAGAAGAAAAAAAGAGATCTATCGTTCTGTTTTAGGAAAGCAGACTCTTTTCCTCCAGTGCTTTTAATGAAAGGAAACAAATCCTTAGCAAGTGTGGTATAAAAAGCTGGTATTTCATTTTATTTTATTTTATAACCGTCGTTGAACTGTCGACCCAAGCTTTTGAGTTTACGACTACTAATGTTCAACTCCGTAGCCTTGTAATTTTGAACCCAATCCAGAAGACAAGGAAACTGCTGAATCGAGTATCGGGAGAAATTTGCCTTCGTGAAAGACTTTTTGAGGGAACTAACCCTCATTTGCTTTACATACAGAGGAAGATCACATGAACCTCACACGGTTAGCCTGACGGCAAGAGGACTCTAACCCATGATCAGTCTACCACTGAAGATATTTCACGTCAGCACTGAGATTGGTGCGAGCCGGATGCGGAATTCGTATCGACTGGGATTCGAAACCAGTTCACCTCATTGGAAGGCGAACGCTCTATCCCCTGAGTCATCGCTGCTCAAAAAGCTGGTATTTTATAACCGTCGTTGAACAGCCGACCCAATTTTATGAGTTTACGACTACTAATGTTCAACTCTGTAGCCTTGTAATTTTGAACCCTATCCAGAAGACAAGTGAACTCCTGATTCGAGTATTGGGAGAAATTTGCCTTCGTGGAGAACTTTTTGATGGAGCTAACCCGCATTTGAGTTACATGGAGAGGAAGACCAGGAGAACCTCTCACGGTTAGCCAGACGGTAAGGGGACTCTAACCCATGATTCGTCTACCACTGAGGATATTTCACGTCATGCGGAATTCGTATCGACTGGGATCCGAACCCGGTTCGCCTCATTGGAAGGCGAACGCTGTATCCCCTGAGCCATCGCGGCTCAAAAAGCTGGTATTGTAAGAATTTGACTTTTATTGTTATATTATTATTATTTCGAGCAATAAAATCGAATTGAAAAGAATAAGAAATAGATAAAAAAGAGCATGTAGCTCTACATTGCGAAAAAAAACCTTAACGTTCTGGCTTAGAAAAACAGAATCTTTTTCTCCAATGATTTAAAAGGAAGGGAGCAAATCCTTAGCAAGTGTGGAAGCCGGTATTGTAAGAATTTGGCTTTTTATACGTGAATTATGGTGTTTCTCTTTAGTTTGACAGAATATGAATCACCCTTATGCCAGAAGATCAAAAAAGAAGAACTTGTTCATTAAGCGCCTAGAATTCTCTTGACATCTCTAGATGTCGCTAATGGGGCTTCACCTTGCGAACATTCATTAGATTGCGGTATGCGTGAACATTTGGTTGACTTGTGACGTGATGTATTGTGTCGTGTGCACTTAATGCTGGATCACGGTAAACTTTTATTCCTTAGGGGGTACCAAGGGGGCAAGTCACTATGGCTGTTATAGAGGGAGCTCTTTTTCTTAAACATTTGATACGATTTTGTAACTTTAAAACTGTAGATTAGATTTAAGAAATAGTTTTGATTATTCAGGAAGGTATTTTATATATATATAAATANTATATATATATATTTGGGGTGTGTGTGTATATATATATATATATATTTGGGGGGGAGTGGTGCAGCTTTTAAAATCATTTTTGGTAGAGGATATTTTTCCATATAAATTTATTACATAATCATAATCATTAAATTACGTAAAATAACAAATAACAGAAGCACACATTCAACTAGTGGTTTTGTCAGAGAGGGAATCTTTTTTAATGGAAAATAAATTTTAAAATCCTATTTTTTTCCTCCTCTTTTTTGGTGGGGGGCTACTTTTTCTTCTCTTTTTTTTTCGGGACTACTTTTGAGCAACAATATTAAAACTTTTCAGTATTTACATATTAAGAGAAGCACGTTTATAATTAACTTGAACTAAAACATTAGCTTTAATTTATTTTTAAGATGCTTAATACTTTTTTTAGAAGGTTATAATTTTGATAATTTCTATTAAATCCTAATTATATCCGAAAAGATATTTGAGTTCTCAAAGAAATTTAAGTTTTTCAGTCTAACAAATCCTTGTTTCTTGTAACTGTCTTGTTTCTTGCAAAAACATTTTCTCAAAAAAGATAGAACTGATGCATTTTGCGTATATTACTGGTTTAAAGTCTTTAATTTTGACAGAAGAATTAAATTCTTTGGTATCAGTTTATTAAAAATTGGAAAGTAAATGTCAACATTAACGAAAAACTATCTTAAGAGGCCCTTGCTCTCCCGACCCAACTCAACTGTGGAAGGGGTGAAGACGAGGAGGGAAAATCCCAAATATTCTTTTAATAATCTTCATTTTATTTTCACAAATGAACTAATGATGGATATTTACTCTATTTGGCGCTGTCTTTCGATACACGTAAAATATAAGGCCTCCACTCAATCATAATTTGAGATATAAGGCGTACTGTATTTCAGATTCTCTGTTAGTTTTTTCTCACAAAATTATGCCAATACAATTCTGCATTCTTTAGTTTTTGAAAGATATTTAAACAGTAAATAATTACCAGTTTTAAAGTTTTGATAAGCATTCTTTATTTTTATACGATTAACATTAAAGGAAATTTTTTAGCATAATCTAAATAGCTTTTCATCAATTTAAGCTGCAATAAGATTAGATTTTAAAAAATAAGAAAAATTCAGAACCATGCACAATTAAATTGCTCACTCAAAACCATAAATCGCATTATTTTATTGCTTTAAAGTTTTTAGGAAAAATTTATGGAAGTTCTAAAAACTACCAAGTGCCATTTCCTCTGATTTAATAAAACGACCCCTTTATTTTTGACCTTTTTTAAAAGTTATTGTGCTGTCTAATAATATTATACCACCAAGTATTAACAGGTACAAAAAATATCGGAAAACACAAATTAAAAATTTAATCTAGAATCTGCGATGGCGAAAGTAGAGGCAGAAGAAAAGGCAGAGATAGAACAGGGCAGAAGACAAAGATTTTCCCTGTCATTATACAAAGAGGAGAATTAGAAGCAAAATAAAGAGACCTGTAGATTTTGAAAAGTTTCATAGAATTACTTCACTTAAATAAGTAATTCTTATGCTTCCCGATTATTTTAGAATTTTATTAACTGTTGACAATGATTGTTTCAAATTGTTCTGTAGAAAAGTCGAAAGGGCACAAAACCAGCCGTTATGTTTGAGAATTGATGTCCTTACAGTTCAACAAAAAAACACTGAAAAAAAAAAGCCACGAAAAATACAGCATCCGAAAAAACCACAAGAAAAAAAAGCGACGCGAAGTTGGACCTGAATTAATCAAATATTGAGGAACTTATTAAATATTTTAATTATTTAAATATTAATTTAATTGCATATCGAAATATTTTTAATATTATATAAAAATTAATTTTATTATAATATTTTTTAATTATTTAAATATTGATGAATTAATTAAATATTATATTAACCATAATTAATATACAATGGTTAACTTGAAGTTGGCGGAAAATGTTTTTTCCACATTCATACTTTTTAATATGTTTACTTCATATTCTCACTAGGGGGTTAAGCCCCTGTTCACTGCCCCTTACCTACCCCGATGATTGCTTCGCGTTAATAGTTGTTTCTTGGCACAAAACAGTTTTTCTGTGAAAGCTAAATTTTTCGCTTAAAATCTATGTGCTATAAGTAAGGCCCGGATTTTGATGACATTTGCATTTTTTTGCATTTTATGCATTTTTGGACATTCTTTGTCCTTTAGAGCATTTTTTTGAGATTTATAGGGCATTTTCTTTAAAATTTTGGGGCGTATTTTGCATTTTAAGGCATTTTCTAAATTTTTTGTTAAATTTTTCTAATTTCTATTATTTTTTATAATTTTTTATTATTACACTGGCTTCCAAACAATGAAGAAAATTTCTAGGATATTAACAGGTGAAGCAACATCTTTTCAAATTGAAGAAGAATTGTCAGTAAGTGTGACCGTCCTTTTCAAGTACGCACCAATAACATCAGTAGACGTTGAAAGAAGCTTCTCCTGGTATAAAAATTTGCTTTCAGACAAGAGACGCTCGTTTACATTTCAAAATATTAAAAAAAAAATTAATAATCCACTGTAATTCTGATATTTAGTAATATTATGAGATGGAAGTTGTTATATTCATTTAAGCAGGGCCGTGTTAGTGGCAAGCAGGGCCCCCGGGCACAGAAATGTTTTGGCTGTAGCTTGGCTGTAGCTAAAAATCGAACTAAAAAACTTTACATACAAATTACAAACAAAGCATTTTTAAGATATGCAATAATTTTAACTAACTTAAACATATTTTTATTACCCCTAAACACTCAATGAAAAGCATTAAAAAAAGTATTTTTAAACGTGTGGTCCTAAATAAATAATTTAGGATCCCTATATGCATTATTTTTTTTTTTTTTTTTTTTTTTTTTTTTTTTTTTTTTTTTTTTTTTTTTTTTTTTTTTTTTTTTTTTTTNGTATAACAAATAAAAAAATAATTCTAAAAGTACGAATTATTTCGTCCAACTATTAAAAAATTGGTTATTTAAACATCTTTCAATGCACATCAGACACAATCAGTTTAAAAGTTGCTGTCCCATTGTGCTCTGCAATTCTAAACTCTTTCAATTATTACTTTATTTAACTCATTATAAATACTAAACAGAGTGGGTGGTGGTCAAGCATATTTAGAGACATTGACTTAAAGAGTACCGAAAAACTTCATTTTAACGTAAAAAAATAAATTTCGGTTGACTTTTTAAAATGTTCAAAGTATTGGTGTTTACATGATAAACAATCACTATTGATAGAAAAAAAATGCTCACTTTTTACACGAGAATATATTTATTTTAAAAATTTTGCGGTGTTGTTTAGTCATATTTTTTTTTTAAATTCAATTTATGAAAAATTAGATTCTCAAGGGCCCCCCTGAGTGGTTGAGGCCCCCGGGCACTGCCCGGGTGTGCCCATGCGTAAAAACGGTACTGCATTTAAGTTTCTATACAAAATGAAAATGTTTTGGAGTCAATATATTTTCCTTTTTTTTGTTATTTTTGGATATAAAACATATTTGTCAAACTTTAATGAACGTAGAACAAGTATTGCATTGCTTTATATTTTTTGAAACGACTCATAATAATTTTAAAGAGTAAAACATTGTTTTAGTTCAATATTTTTACTTATATTTAAGTCGCGTCATAAGGCATTTTTAGGGCAATTTTCGCATTTTAAGGGCATTTTTTGTACTTTTAAGGGCATTTTTTGCAGTTCATAAGGGCATTTTTTGCACTTTTTAAGGGCATTAATTGAGATTTTTTAGGTCATCAAAATCCGGGCTCTAGCTATAAGGAATTCTATTTATTCTTGTGCCCCCTCCCCTAACTTCACCGTCCAACATCCTTCCCTTTAAATTAAATGTTTATTTTGAGCCAAATTTGATTGGAAAATAGTAATGACAGCTCGGAGTGTCTTCTCCTGAGTCCGGTTTTTTTTGTGTTTTTAGTTACAATGTCAAATTTGCGACTTCAATGGAATTCTGAGTAATTATAAAAATAAAACTTATGAAAGATAAATACCTTTTTCAACTTTGCCATATGTCGGAGACTGGTTTACACTGAGCAATTGTAAAGAGCTTGGTCTGTGTTGATTTCTCGCCCTTTGTTGTGGAGGTACGTGGGCTAACATTTCTACTACATTAGGAGGCAAAGACCTATGGAATAATAATAATAATCTCATTAGTTCAATAATATTTTAGGGGCAAAAGCTTCATATAGGGTCAATCGGAATTAATAAGGCATTCAAAATAATGTGGATTACGCGAGACTAGGTGTTTTGTAGTCACCGTTCTTAATATTAGATTTTAGAATTCTTGTAAAATGAAGTGAAAATGCACACTAGGGATCGCAAACCAGTGTATAAGCAATGAAAAAAAAAGAAGGAAATATTAAAGCTTGACAAAGCATTATCGAGAGAGGCCAGATTTAAAATATCAAAATCTGTTTGGTTAACAAAGTAAATTGAAAGTAGATAAAAGGCGATTCTTGAAATCTCCTTCAAGTTTCGCACTACAATCAATTTAATTTTGATGTTTTAAACCCCGTTTTTCGTAGTTATTATAAAATAGATTTTGATAAATATTTTTTAAATTTCCTTAAATATTAATTTGCGACCTTTAACACTAGAAAGACTGAAATACCTATATTGCCCAAAAGCAGATAAAATGACTGCATTGTGAAGGAATGAATAATGTATAAAGAAATTTGTTTAAAATTTATTTTTGATATTATTTTCAGTTATATAACAAGTTATTAGTAAATATTAACAAAAAAAAAGTACATGTTGTATAAAAAGTCACAAAATTATAGGAAATTGTGTCATCATTGTTTTTCTAATTGAAATTAAAAAGTAGTCAAAATGACTTCCTTGGGCAATCTAGTGTTAATGTCCATACTTTTTGACAAGGATTATAAAATATAAGTTAAGGTTGTGACTACAATACAACACCTTATATGAGGTTACGTAAATATGGAGCCGTTTGTTACAATAAAAGCTGAATGAATATTGCTATATACTTTTAGGACTACGTTCTTAAATGTGCATGCTGTCTATTGCTGAAATAGACAGGTAAGAACTGTTAAAATTCTTCAAATGATTTCCCCTTGCAAGAAGCTTGCTCTAAAAAAAGGTAGACTTAGGTAGTGTGGCATAGGTCTAAACCAAAATTCGTCTATCAAAGTAAAAAGAAATTCTTATAAAATCTATATTGCTGTAAGAAAAATCTAATTTCGATTGACTACTTTGATTGTTTAATCTGAAATGAAACATTGGGAACTTTAATCAGGTGCTGACTTTTCAAAACATTATGTGATAGCATTAAAAATTACTTTTATTTCATCACAATATTTTGGGAAAGTATTTAATAGCAACAGTAGATGTTTTTGGTCTTATAGATTTCTGTTTTAAGATCATCTTCAAGAAATGCAGGGTTGGAATAATCCAAGGCGCCTAGCTTGTCATGCGAATGATGATGAATCGTAGCGTACGTCACAGGCAAAAACAAAGACCGCCCCCTCGTTTATCTTGTCCTAAATCATGACACTTGATTTTTTTGTTTGTAATTGAAAAAAAACAGCACTTTTATAATTTATTATTTTTTTAAAGACGAATATTTTTAAAATTGTTACAAATTCTATAGTTGCAAGTTTGATTATCAGCTATTCGATTAAAAAGTTACTAAAATAAGATTTATTTTAAATATTAAAACAATAATAATGATTTTGCATCTTCAGTAATGATTTATTTTTACATCATTTATATAAAAGTATTTAATAACATATGGCAGTTATTAATCTTTTTAAGTGTAATAAAAATAGGAAAATGGAAAGAGGTAAATGGTTGAGGAAGCCGTAACAATAACTCAAAAAATGAATGAATAAATAAAATAACCCTTTAATTACTTAGCCTACTCATTTTATATTTATACATATATTTTTGTATATTTTAAAGGATTAATAAAACTGCTTTTTAATGGAACAAACTGATCCAATGGTTTGATGCGAATAGTGTCAAAAAAACAAAAAATTTCGCATGAAAGACGGGACTTGGCATTGAAGAACATTTGAGAAATAAAATCAATAGCACTAAATCTAGTAGTTGGCGGAATTTCTTCGTTTCCCATTTAGCCTGCAACTTTTAGTTTTTACATAAAATTTCCGTATAATTATAACATACATAATTATGACATAAATAACACATATAATTTTCTTTTCCAAAATATATTTTCTTCTCTCCTACATATAATTTTCTTCTCTCTTTTGCAACACAATCTTGCAACTTCTTCGGAAAATTTAATTGCAATACCATTTCAACACAATTTTTTTCTTCCTTTCTACGCAAGTGAAATTTTGTTTTTAAAAAACTGTGAATTAAAATTCAGTTTCTTTATCTTGGAAGCCTTTAGACTATTTTTAGTAATATTTAAATGTAAACTGCATCAAGAATGAAGGAATTATATTATAAAACATTTGAATCTAATCACATTTACTTTTGTCACATAGTTTCAAATCGAATCATAAGTCGTCCTTCTAATTTAAAATTACCAATAGGGTGCTTCGTACATGGAAATTTTTCAAATAATAAGGGTGCCAAGAAGAAAGTTTTAAGAATTTCCGATCTGCTCCATCCTTGAAAAATGTTTTACTATTCTTTTAATTAAAAAGTGTTATCTGAGTGCAATTAATTTACACTACTCTGATATCATTTATTCTTTTTCACACCCTTCCAATGAGACATTTACGTTTCTATTGAAGAAAAAAAGATTTGAGGAAACATTTTACTTTACCACTGGAAGAAAATAACTTTTTAATAAGAACTACCGTCTAACAAAGACAAACAGAAGGTTTGATCTTTTAGTCACCATCTGGCAACAAAAGATGATATTCTCCAGATGGAAATAATATTTGGAGACTTCAAAAAAAGATTTTGTTTGAAACGAAAACAAATTGCATTTTTATTCTATGGAATTATTTGCCATGTTTTCTTCCTTTTGTTCAATTTTTTTTTTTAATTTCTATCTCAAGAAAATAATTTTTTTCATACTATTTAAGTTTTTTTTCTTCTTCTCCCTTTCTTTCTTTCTATATTTTATTTTGAACTATGTTATTATAACTTAAACTCACCTACGTCAACTAAAATATCTTCCGTTTAAAATAATGGATTTTTTGTTCTATCATATAAAAAAATAATAACAATAATCATGTCTGAAGAGGAGAAGGTAACATATCATGCTAGATTATATTTACGGACTAGTTAATATGTGTTCGGCTGACCACCTAACCGAAACATCTGCTCCTGCACCCCGAATCCCAAGGTCAAGAAAACTGAGATTGGCACTGTAGGCCTTGGCTCTCTATGGGCTGTCGCGCCACTGAGTTTAGTTTAGTTAATATGTAATGTAAGCTATAGAAGTTTTAGACAGCAGTTCTTAATGTTATGGAAGTACTATATTTTGGTGAAGAATATGTTAAGTAATTGAGATATCAGTGACGTTTATGTCAAGCGATTGCTGTTAAATGTTAATAATCACACATTTTCAGGCACCAACATTATATCAGGTAAAATTAAAATTATATAACTATCTAATTGATGACGTTTTGTTGTTATCATATCAACTGCATGATAGTAAGTAACATTTTGTTCACTTTGAACAATAAATAACTTCAATTGATAACTATTACTGTTTAATAAATTCTAAGCATACTATTGTATGCTTGCAATGCTTTCACCTATGCAATTGTATTTTATTTCATTTTATTGACGGTGTTAAACAGCAGACCTACTTTCGTGTTTACAGATATCAATGTTCAACTTGTAGCTTTGCATTATTTTCCTTTATCTTGAAGACAAGGGAATTCTTGGTTCAAGCACTGGGACAAAAAGAAAGCCTTTGTGGGGGGGGGGACTTTTTTTATCTAGCTTATTTATATTTGTGTTACATGGAGAGGAAAACCACTAAGAACTGCCACAATTAGCCCGATGACAAGAGAATTCTAGCCCATGATCGGCCTGCCAATGAGGAAATTAAACGTCTGTGCTGTGAACGATACGAGCAGGAAGCAGAATTCGAAATAACCAGCCACCGTTGCAATTTTAACCTTGATCACCTCATTCGGTGACAAGCGGTCTATCTCTTGAGACATTGCTGTTCATGTTCCCGTATTTGTCTATACTAAGATTTGTAACAACGCATGGATTTATAGCAAGGGTCAGTTATTAAATGATACCACACTTTTTTTTTCCTCATTAAAATGCTTCTGTTCTTTCCTTTGTCACAAGATGTCACGTGTCTAGTTATAATACATAAACATAAACTAGCAACACAAAAACAGAACACTTATGACAAATCATATTTCATATTTTGTTTTTAAATTGTTTTCAAAAAGTTAATGTGAACAATGGCCTTATTTGAATATTGATAAATTTCATTAAAAAAATTGGAATTACCCATACTTTCATGTTTATACAAGTCATGTTATATAGATTATTATTATACCAGTATGCCTCCAGCTATTTCTGCTCCTAAACTAATTGCGCAACTAATCCGATAATATAGAGGAAAAAAACATTTCTATACACTTGCATTTATATACACTTTAAGGTTCTGTATTTGAAAATTAACAAAGATGGAGTTTGCTTATTATTCAAATAAAGCTTTCAGTTATACTTTTCTAATCTTGTTTGGAAATGGAGTTAGGTTAGATTTACATATTAACATCTTGGAAACTATAATCAAAATCAAACATGAAGCACATTTTGATGTAACTGGAGATAGATAAAATTAAAATATTAACATATTGAAAATAATGAGTAAAATCAATTATGTAGCACATTTTTATGTTGATCATTTTACCTATACCAATATTTAATTAAAAGTAAAATATGAAATTACAGTCATCAGGCCTTATCACTTACCAGTCCTCTGGGTCACAATCTCGAAAACCTTTAGCGAAGGGATTGCTAGCGATTTTCAATTGTGTTATCTGTAATAAAATCATGAAATTAGTACTCTTCAACTTTTATATCATAATTACTGTGAGACAGAAAAATGTAAGTATTTTTTTTTTAACTTCATTTAGTAAATTACGTGATATTTCAATAAATGTTGATGGATGGAATACTGAAAATTTCAATATTCAGGCTTTGTTTTCATGGTTAATGACGATGAAAAACGACGACTTCTGACGACGATGAAGTCCTCTGTCCAAAAAACTTTATTGTGTTGACAAAATCACTTAGGACATCAACATCCTACGAAATTCGTATGGAATACGAGTGGAATTCGTACGGAATTAAATTTTACACAAAAAGTTTTTAATTAATTTTCACTATTTTAATTAGTATTTTATTATTTTATTAATTAATTTTTAATTAATTTTACTATTTTAATTTTTAATTAATTTTTACACAAAAAGTATTCCATACGAAATTTGTATGAAATATTTATTGTGAAAAAAACAGCTTGTACTGTAGGAAAGCTACAAGATTAAATGCTAAAAAGCTCTTCATCAAACGGGGAGTTAGGTAGATTATTTCTGAAGTCATGCATTATTATATAATAGGGCTAGATTCTTTTCTGGTCTTTTTTTCAGGTGCTTTTTTTCCGACGCTTTCCTCGGGTGCTTTTTTTCCAGTGATTTGTATTTATAGCACAGACATACACACTCAATAAAACATGCATAGCTGTTTAATTAATTATCTAAAACACAACAACCAGGGGTTGGAGTAATTCTATTTCGTAAGCTATCTCGAAACATTTCTTTTTATTTTATCACTGATATGTTGAGCATAAATATAATAGAAAAGGACGACACTGAACACATTCCTTTCGAGCATATCAAGGTGTATGATTTATTACGAAGCTGTAGCACTATTAAATGGCTCTTTAACTTGGCAGGGTGGTAAACCATATCCCATTAATACACTGATGGAAGGTTCAGAATGCGATAACCACCCAGAAAGCGATATATCCTATCCAAATGCGAGAACATAAACAAATGTGACTCACGCGATGGTATAAACAAAGTGTGCAGCACCCTGTGCTCTGGTATTTGCCAAGACGACCCTTCCAAATCTCCGGAGAGAGACCCAAAAGAAGGCCCTGCGTAACTGATTTATTGGATGGGATGGAAGAAAAAAGGGATCGTGATGTGGGGAAGAGTTTGAAGTGGAAGGTGTCAAATATCACGGATAGCATTCCATACACAAAAGTTTCAAACTCAACGCATAGGGTGGTCTTCTACAGTGTCCTGTCAGTGTCACTTTGATACTTTCTGCTTTTTTCTCCATTCCCTCGTCCCTCGTTGTTTTTTTGTGGGAGTGACTCGTTTTTCTTCAGTAACCATTATTTTGTTATTTTTTTTAAGGACTGTTCGCTCATCCGTTTTGTATTGAGTAATATTTTCTTTATAAAGTATTCTCTACTTATGTGATGTGTGACTAGTTGCTTTTTGAAATACCAAATTTGTTTTTTTTGTGATTATAAATGACTACTTAATTAAACTTTTGAGTTGGGCTGGGATGTTAATGCATATTTTTGCCTTTTTTGCATAGCTAGTTTTTTTCTTTCTTTGTAGGGCTTTTGTGATTGTAGGCTTTCTTGGTCATTTTTTTAACGTTTTAGATCCCCTCCTTTTATGTGTTTTTTATGAATCTCAAATTATATTTTTTATTTTAAGCACATTTTTCTTCCTAATAAATTTTCTGCTTTGTAATTTAGAATAAATTTTGCATTAATTCTTGCCATTTCTAATATCTTACAAATGTTGTGTTGAACATAGCTTTTTAGGACATTAAAACATTTTTATAAATTGCAAAAGATTGCCTTTGGACAATCGGCAATCTTTTAATCTGGAGAAAATTTAAAAATATTTCATAATACAATGCAATTCTGATATTCTTGAAAACTAAAAATTGACAAATTTTTATTTATTTACATTTTACTTTATTCATAAATAATTTTCACAATTATTGTCATATATTTTATTAAGTTTTTAAATGCAATTTACAATTTATAATCTTTTTTTTTAATAAAAAAAAGGGTAATAAACATGTTTTTGTACATTTTAAAGGAATCTTGTACATTTTTAAAGGAATTTTTTTATTTTAAGGGCACTTTTGATATTTTTAAGGGCTTTTTTCTAGATTTTTTAAAGGCATTTTTTTAAAGAATCATTTCATCAACACGTTATCCCCGCTAATGAAAGAAAAATATCACCACTGCTACAGTCACAACGCCATGTTTGTACAGTCACGTGACACTTATGGGACGTCATTAAGACTTCTAAAGAACGGTCAATATGGGTGACAAATAGAATTTGTTTTATCAATTTCTATTCTAAGACTGAAACTTCAAATGAAAATGATTAGTAAATTGTAAATAATAAGTTGCTTTTTTAAATGAAGTAATAAAATAATAATTTACCCTATGATTTTGATAAGCGGTGACTGCTGTGAATTTTGTTTCTGCAAAAACGAATGTTTTGAAATTTTGTGTTTGACTGGCATCTTCTCCTTTTGGATTGACATATACAACATGAAACCTAGGTTGATATCGATGCATGGAATTTAAAATAATCTAAAAAATAAAAGAAATAATATTTATTAGGAAATTTTGACTTACGTTTATCAAAATTTATATAAAACTAAAGAGATTACAAAACATCGATAATACTCAAAATTAAGAAATATATATGATATCCCGAAATGGTTGAAACAATTTTTGCTTCCTATTCCAGGAGAAAATTATATAAAAAGGGAGTGAAGGCTGTAAGTCAAGCAGCTTCTATATTCTCTTAAGACAAATTTTTTTTCTCGATTTATAGTTGTTTGCAAAATTAAAACTTTTTTTCTGAATTTAAAGACTTAGACTTTTCTTAATAAGAAATAAATAATGATAGAGGAATGTTAGCCGAACCTGGTCCTTTAGTTTGCGGGTTTGTTCTTAAGCTGGATAAAATTACTAAAAGTTTTATTTGAATGAATAATTAATCCTCTAACTCCGAAAATAATTATTTTTAATGTTAAAAACTATATTGTAGATTACGCTGCATTATTAAAGCATACACTTGCATTTCAGATACATATCACTACTTTACAGTCCATAGTTTAATTTTTCAAGTTTAACCAATTGTGCACATAGCAATAATAAAAATTAGACACGTACTTATTTTGTAAAAATTAAGGTTGCATAAATATAAATGTATTTATTCTGCGCATTTTAAGCTATTTTATTTCAATCTAACAGCGTGATGTTAAACTTCTTGCACCCTGTTCCTTATTACACACTGTCTCAATTTTATAAATTCAAACTGTCTGCAGAATTCAAATAAATACTTTTTTTTATGCTGTTCAGAATTGTAATTTAAGACAATACATACCGTCATGTGGGGGCTACTTTGTGCAGGATTTCGCAGTTTTTTGAACTTTAACATGTAAAAAAACTGTGTTAATTCAAACTTTAGTAAAATTTATCGATATTATATTCATAACTGGACTCAGACGAGTGAATTTGATCAATATTGGCATTATTTGTATGTAATATTTACAAATAATAAGTCAAAACATACCTTGCACAAAGTAGCCCCCAAATGGGGCTACTTTGTGCAGCGATAGGAATTCAGTTTAATAATCATGTTTTTAGTAAAATATTGATATAAAATTGTTAAAAAAGTTAATTGTTGACATTTTTAAAGACAAAAACATCAAGATATGTAAAGATATTAGTTTGAAAATAATTTTCAGCGTTAAAAAACCATTTTTTTTGAAGAATTTTTTCTTAAAAAGAATGTTTATTTCAAAACATTTGAGTTTAAACAAAAGGAAACCATATACATTTTTAAACATTGAAATGGATGAAATTTTAAAAATAATAATTATTACATATTCATTAACATTTATAATATTGTTAAATTTGAACATAACATCCTTGAATGAACATGACAGAACTTGCTCTTCAGTTTCTGTCAAAATTACCCGATGTCCTATAAAATATATTTTTATGTGTTAAATCGTTTGATTAAGTCATTAGAAAAATCTTTGTAGAAGAAAAATAATAGTTTACCAGGAAGTTTCACGTGTTTCTTGTGAATTTTATTAGAGATAGTATTTCTGTGGATTTTGTACTTCCGAGAAGCTTCTGCAATCGACATACCACCAGCAACTGCTTGCAAACATTGTTGCAGCTTTTCTAAAGTGTAATCACGGTAGTTACTCATTCCAGGTATTTTTTTTTTATAACGTCTGACCATTTTTCTGTCGAAAAAAAAACGAATGAAACTTTGCACAAAGTAGCCCCACAGTGCATTTTTTTTCATTTTCCGTTTATTTTTTATTAATTTTCAAAAATTTTTAACGCTAACATGATATAATTGTTTATTAATACATAAATAAAAAATTTTGCACTTAAGACAATTGTTTTATCAACGTCTTTGCATTTCACAGCTAAAGTTTCCACGCACACTTTTCGACGTCCGACGTTCTCGGAAAGTTGTTGACATTGGATAAACGAAACACACTCTGAGATTGTTTTAAAATTCGAAAAAATGTTTGTAGTAATAGAGGAGACTTCTGTCTTCAAATTCCACTCATTTTTAACGTGGAAAAAACGTAATGCTGAATAACAGCACTTGAAAAGTGCCAAATTCGAATTTGCACAAAGTAGCCCCCGCTGCACAAAGTAGCCCAACATGACAGTATAGGTAATTTTTTAATGATATTACCTTTCCTTTTTAAGAAAATTCTTTTTCAATAAACTATTCTACTCGCCAATTTTAAACTCGCCAATTTAAACTGAATTCGTTTTGCCTCAGCTTTTACTAATTATATTAAAGAGTACTGAAAACCAAACTTCAAAGGCACCGTTCATACATTACGTAAGCACGTAACGGAGAAAGATGATTGTGATTGAGATTTGCATATTTTTGTTAGCAAGGGAAGAGAAGGGGTATAAGCAATGCTTACATAAGACATTAAAATTCCATTATTTTCCAAAAAAATTTTTAAAAGCAAAATTAATAATGTAACAAGAAAAGTTGCGCGTGGAAAAATTTCACATTTCAAATACGTGTTGAATTTGGGGGTGAAGAAAAATTAAAAAAATTTTTTTTTTCTTCGATGAGTTTTGAACACAAAAAGAAAACATAATAGATCCCGAAAGAATATTATAATCAAAATCTGTGAAAATGCATTAAAACTTAAATTTTATTTCATGCAAAGTTACATCTCTTATTCGAATTTAATCCTAAAATTTGACTTATACTGTAAATGTTGAAGTTTAAGCAAAAACCAGAGGGAATGTTACAACATTCCGACGAAAGCATAGGAGAGAGTTAGTGATTTGCTTACTTTTGCTGACAAGGGGGGGGGGAATCCAAGATTGCCAAAAATATGCTTACGTAATATTTGTACGATTTCCAAAGAAAATACATGGAGTATGTAAATCTAAAGTAAATATGTATGCAAAAGATGAATGATATAAGTTGAAGAAGTTACTAACATGTCCGTTGTCATCCATTTGATTATTCGTGAGCTTGAGTTTGTCAAATGAGATCACTTGTTTCATCCATTGAGTACCTTTGGCTGGTGAATCTGGGTGAAGGTGCATTCTTGGTGGCATGTTTGGATCTGCTTTCCCCGCAACGACCCAGCTAGAACTGGTGGGAAAAAATATTAAAGATTACATTTATCAGCAATATTTATCTATAATATATTACTCATTACGAGTTTGAAAATGATGCATGTATAGGCATTTTCAAGCAGGTCTTGTTCTCGTATTGGTGCACTGAAATTATGTCAGAAGATAAGAAAAAAACCGGAAAGATATGAACTTAAAGAGAAAGTTGAAGTTATGGAAGCATAGAATTTAAAGCTTCCGTCATTATCATTCTATTATTTATAATTTCATAGCCATTTGTATCGAGTTTAGATGAAAATTTTATGTTAAAACTTATCCTTAGTGGTATGTCAGTGGCTTAGTGGCTTTCCCCTCAACGACCCAGATGGAACTGGTTGGAAAAAAGTATTAAAGCTTATATTTTTCTACAATATTTATCCATAATATACGTACTAAATTGCGATAGTGAACAGTAAGTGCGTACTTTGGAAAACTCATTAAAAATAACATAATATCAAACATTAACTTTGCCGGGAGCATAGTTACACTGCAAAAAATTCCGGCCCAAATTACGGTATAAAGTACCGACTCTTTGAGTGACATCATCCGTAAAATCCATTTTACTGTATAAAAACCATTTTTACCACAAAATATTATACCGTAATTTTTTCAGTAATTATTTACGAAGAGTGATTTAGCGATTTTACGGTAATCATTACAATAAAAATTACGGTATGTCAGATTTTTTGTTCCGTATCATGTTATTGTAAAAATTACGATAAAATTAATGAACTATAACTTTTATTTTATAAAAATTAACTCTATTCTATAAAATTAATCAACTAATTTTTATCGTGACTTAATCCGGTACTTTTCATTTTGTCGCCAGCACTACATCGCTCTAAACAAAAACGAAATTACGTAGGCGATGTTGTTTTATTTAAGCCGATTTAGATTCAGATACAAAAAGCAAAAACGTCACTAAGGTGCCTCAGGGTCATAGAATCCATACTTAATTGCCTAAAGAGGGTTAACATTTTAACATAACTTACTTAACTAATGAAGGATACAAGAACAAATAATTCGAAGTAAACAACAAATAAAAATAATAATAAATACCTGTGAAATGCGTATCGATACCTCTTGTCATCTACAGGCACGAAGTCCATCATCAATATATAATCTGCCATGGGATCCATACCATACAGTTTAACTTGAAATGTTGGAAACATTCGCCTGAAAAAAGTATTAAACATTAATATTTAATCAACATTAATAATAATGTATAATTAAGAATTCGCAACTTAAAATGATAGACAATTTATTATTTAGACAGAAAAATTTATATAAATCCAAAAATTTCTCAATCGCATCATATTTTACAACATTTCGTACAAGCTGAGTACTCGTTCCTTGTACGGAGTAAAAAAATGTAAAAAATTAAAGAAATGGTATAAATTATGGCTTTTTAATCATGCACTAATCTGTAAGACACGTGAAAAACTGAGTGGAGGAAGCGGGCTAGTGACATTTTCAATGTGGCGACAATCAGAATAATAATAAGAAAAAAAGTGGTATCTGAACTTTTAACTTTAATATTTAGATATAGTTGAAAGAGAAGATAATAATTCTTTGCCTTGTTTTATTTACCTAGTTTGAAATAATCATGCAGGCAAACTGTAAACTAATGTGGATTAGTTATGTTAAAATTACACTGAAAGCAAAAACTATCCAGGTATATTAAACATACCAATATTAATGCGACAATATAATGTAATTTCTCCTATTTAATGAATGACCCGCGAAACGTCACTTACCTGCTTCATCCACTAAATAAGCTATTCAACTTCTTATATCAACATAACTATAATTTTAAAAAAAAGTTTGTTTTTTAAGTTATTATATTTTTTAAAGTTATTTGTTGCTTTTCCTGAATAAAATTCATTAATAGATTTAGCAAAACTTAGTTTCAGGTTCCCAATTCATCCTCATCATCATCAAAAAAAAAAAATAATAATAATAATAATAATAATAATAAAAATAAAAATAAAAAATAAACTAACAATACTAACTTTTCAAAAAATAAAATGACGCAATCGATAGCTGCCGACACATGATAGTCAGGATTTTCCTCAAAAAAGCAATTTTTCCGATGAAATGACACTTCAGCACAAATCCTTCTTTTACACCAATTACGTTTTAATTTACATTTGGGTTTGTAGAAAAATATTTCAAATCGTAACTATAAACAAAAATAAACACTTAATGTCGAATAGTTTCAAAAACACTAATTCCATGAAGTCGCAACAGTTGGTATTTTCATTGATTTGATCTGTGATTACCAAACATAAATAATCATTAAAAATCACGCAATGAATTCTCGATAAAAGCTCGTTTTTTTAAATTTATTTATTTATTTTTTTTAAAATTAGACATAGCTGCAAGCTAGAAAAAAATAACGTGTGTTATCTTTTAAATAATTGGATACTTGCACTTCAAGAAGAAGAAGAAGACCGCGGATACCCACACATGTGACCAGCTGATCATTCTATTTTATTTTTTAATAACCGTCGTTGAACAACCGACTCAAATTTGGGTTTACGACTACTAATGTTGAACTCCGCAGCCTTGTAATTTTGAACCCACCCAGAAGACAACGAAGTTCCTGGATCAGTACTTCCAGAAGTCTGATTTGTTATGGGAACATGATCGACTTTGTGACTCGACAAATTTCACGTGCATCAGTCACCATTTACTACACGGGGAATCTTTGGTCGGCGGGGATCTAACCCACGACCTCTTGGGCATTGGCCCAGTGCCCAACCAACCAGGCTATCCCCCCTCCAGCTGATCGTTTAAAAGTAAAATGGCTCGTTAAAGTTAAGCTAAGTTTCTCCATATACGTTAGAAAGTTAGTTAACGTGTAGTTAATGAAATACAGTGTCGTATCACAAATCGAACTTATTGAAATATAATTCTTTCTCTTCTATGCCTTTTACTTAACTTAGATCTATAATTTGCTTATATATTACATTGTAACCGAGATACATTTTTGTTTTGTGTACCTGGTAACTTTAATGTGCAATTATTTGTTTATGTTCGACATGGCTTTGATTTAAGTAAGAAACATATAGTGAAAAAATTGATATCTTTGTGAAAGAATCTTTGTGTAAGAATATGGAATGTATCATTTAAGAGAGCTGATGCTTAGGCTTGACAGGCTTGGTCTATTCAAAATAGAATGGAAAGAACAGTTGTTAACGTAAGCAAAAGCCACGTTTCAACAACCAATCAGGATCAAGATATCCATACTACGTCACTTGCAGGTATCCCATTGAAAACAGAATCGTTTGCAATTTGTTTGCAACGATGCGCAAGCGCTATGTTAATACTGAGGTTAATAAAATGTTAATATTTTCAGATCATTTTTGCTTCTTTTCATTCAAGACCGGTAGATCTTGAAAATGGGTGTCTATTTTTGAGCGCTTGGAAGATGTCGACTGTTATTTCAAATTTGTATACTTTTGAAGCGAATGAAATTTTTAATCAAGTGATAAGCTTAAATAATATTAACATTGTGTTGTTCAAAACAAGATTTGTGAGAAATTAAAATAACAATAATAAATTTATGGTGAATTTTATTGTAAAACACAAATGAAAGCATCAATTTATGTAAGCTATTTCAAGATAAACAACGTAAAGTTTAAATATGTTATTGAGATAAGGGAGGAAAAACACACTTTTAATCAACTACGTGTTGCGAAATATAAATACCGTCAAAGTAAATAATATCAAAACTTTAACAAAAATTTTTTTGAAATTTTAAATTATGTTCTTGCAAAAACACTAGTTTAATGCGTAATGAGTATATCAGACGCATTTTTTGAAACTTACTATACGTTCTTTATCAATTTATAATAGAATAACAAAAGACAGCCATATTTTCTTGAGTTATGTATCACGTTTTAATGAACTGACATAGATAGTTTACTGATAAGAAGTATTATTTATATTTCCTTTTATCTGATGATCTCATAGTTTACACAATTCTTTGTATCACTTTCTGTTTACACATTTTTAATTTGCTTAATAAGAGCAAACTATTTTACTTGTTTATGTTACATTTTTTCAGGAGAATAATGACCACAATAAGGATAAATTATAAATCTGCAATAATTAATATTTTTTGATGCCAGACCGAAAATTTTTTTTTTCCTTCAAAAATTTAAAAAAAGGATTTTGATTTAAGAATCATAAATAGAGTATTTTTTTGAATTTTTTTGAACCCTCTCTGTCTTAGAAATGGTTCTTTTTCTCATTCTTCTAAAAAAGTATTAGAGGTGAATTAGAATAAACAAAATAGGTTCTTTAAAATATTTTAAAAGCAGCATAAAAAGTAGATACTCATGTCAAACAGAAGGGAAGTAGAACCATAGATAGCCTATTAAATTAACAAAAGGGACGAACTGTTGATAGGCAAGACAATTGGGGAAGATGCAGAAATGGTCCCTCAAGTACGAACAACATAACTAGTAAGAAAAAGGAGGGAGGTCTTAATGGCTCTAATCAGATAATTATTAACTGGTGAGGAATCTGAAAAGTAAATCTATCAGAAAATTTATAAATAAAACAAAGCTACACTATATTTTATTAGTTTACATCCACGTATATGACAATATTTCGTTACTCGAAAAATCAATTCGAATATGAAGGTCACAGCTTTGAAGAATTTTTACATTAAACGAGGATTTTTGATGTGCGCAGTTTATATGCGGCTTCAATGAGAGACTGTTACTTTATTTGATTTTACTGAAATATATTCTGTTCATTTTCTTAAATTTTGCTTTATGCTTTTCAGCATTAAAAAAAGAATTCTATTAACATAAATCGTTCTAAATCCACTATTTTCACTTCGTACAAAAAAGTCGTCTGCAATGAAAGTCAGAAGATGAAACTTTATCTAAATTATTTTATCATTAAAGCGATAAACACTAGTTTCTTTTCTTTTCTCTCTTTTTTTTTAATATAACAATGGTGCAATATTTCGAAAATAAATAGGTATTGAAGAGAGCAAACCAAAATTTTCTGTTAATGCAATGATGGATTTGGTTGTTACACTCTTGAAATTTATTTAAACCTTGAAATTCTAAGGATTTCACCGTCGATCTATCATTTCTATTTAAAAAATCTTAAAGCTTTTCGTTAAAACTTTTATATTTCAGAAAATAGTAAATAATTTTTTCCATACAGAAAAAAAAAAAGAAAAATGTTTATGAAATAAATTATTTTCGATAAATCTTTTGCCTTCAAAATAATTATAGCGTGAGAACTATTTATGAGTGAAAAAAACAAAATGTAGATTGCTTTAAAAATGCAGACCTAATAAACAATTAAAATTATAGAATAAACAAAATGAAAATTAAACGAAAATAAAAATTATAGATTTTAAAAAGTACTAAAAATTTCTTCCGTAGTTTGGTTTAGAAAAACGCGATTCTGTGGTTTAAAATCGTTTGCTTCTTTTGACAATTTTTTAGAAAGCGTTGAAGCTACAAGAATTTCATTATTTAAAATATCTCTGCAGTTTTTAAAATTCTGAAAATGCAAAATTCAGGGTTTTTTGCTTTTAGAAAGATCGGTTAAATGCATAAAGTATCCTTTCATGTAAGTAAAACCGATGCGTACAGTATTCTATAAATATTTTTTTCCTTTTAAACATATGTCTGTAGTTAATTAAATTAGAAGATTATTATTTGATATTTTTTGATATTTTAGAAGTTAATTTTAACCTTTAACTTGTAATATATGCTTCGAAACTGTTATTTCGAATTATCAGAAGATTTATTTAAAGATTTAATATTAATTTTCTTTACATTAATACATAACTATTAAAATATCCAAATTTATATAAATAAATAGTAGTAGGTTTTCTTTCACTGTAATTCCTTTAAAATAATTGGAGTTAACATATTTTCTCCTTGTGGCTCTCATGCTATATTTCGACAAGTTCTTCTTAACGTGAACGTTGCGGAATGAAAACACAGTTCCCAGCGAAGTCTAAAGATCACCTAAACAGTAATAAATCAAATTCTTTTATAAGACCACAAGCTCTAATAATGTTTAATAAGCAATAGGAAAAAGAATGGCTATCCATTTTTTTCCTCTTTTATCGTCATTATATTTCTAGATTACAATCCCTTATCAAATAAACAGAAAATAGCTTATCATCCTTAGAG